CAATATTTAGTGACATGGTCAATAAGTAGTGCTCACAATAGAAAACATAACTTTAAAAATACGAAACATTTATATGCCTGTTGGGTGGGATTACCAGTTTTCAGCTTGATTAAGTTGTAGGTGTAAATAAATTATTGACTGAGCCCAAGTCCCTACTACTGCTGAAATAAAATTGTTTACAATTTAGATACATGTGTAGAATTCCATTAAGTTATTGTCTAATGAAATTACTTAAGTTTTTGCTGAAAATAGAAATTCATTAAACATTGTTTGCCTGGATGGATATCTTCACAGCGTATGTGTCATTTCTAAGCTAACTGGAGTTAGATTAAAACATCAAAGGATGAGCATATACRACCCCAAATTTTAAGAGCACACATATTTTATTTACATTAATTAAAATCTAGTGAAAGTTAGCTTCAAAATCCACTTTTGTTTATAAAAGCTACCATGTTTAATGGTTGACTTGATGGAAATAACAGGGTATAGCAGTCTGAATGTTTATGTGAGTGACCGAAAGCAAGCTGGGGGGGGGGGGGGGAGAGAGAGAGAGAGAGAGAGAGAGAGAGAGAGAGAGAGATTTTCTGGCTAGATCATACATGCCAAAATTTTATCTTGATATTGTTATTGAAAAACAACCTCTAAAGAGCCTCTTCTAACAGGAGTCATATCTAGAATACAAATGCTTTATGCTACAGAGAATCATAGAAGTTTATGATGCAAGGTGCCTAGAAATCATCTAGTTTTTCTACCCTCTTATTTTATGAATAATAAAATAAAAGTCCCCCAAAATTTCACATAATGTCAAGACTACACAGAGAGTTGCAGCCAGGCCAAGAACCTGGTTGTCCAAATTCTCAGATTCAATAATGTGTTAGTCTCTAACTACAATTTTTTTTTTTTTTTTTTTGCACCAGGGAGTGAACCCAGGGGTGCTTAACCACTGAGCCTCATCCCCAACCCTTTTTTAAAATTTTTATTTTGAGACAGGATCTTGCTAAGTTGCTTGGGGCCTCTCTAAGTTGCTGAGGCTGGCTTTGAACTTTTGATCCTCCTGTCTCACCTACCCTGACTCCCCCAAGCTGCAGGGATTACAGGGTATGACAACGCGCTCGACTCAACTATCACATTTATAGACTTCTAGTCTAGTAAAACAAGAATGAAGCTGTTGAGTTAAAAATTTCAATACAGAACAAACATACATACATCCAGAACTTGCGAGTGACATTTATCTTCATGTCCTAACTAAATGCATAYGAAATTTCTGTCTTTACAATTAAACTAATACCTTACAGTAATTCCCCAGGGTTTTCAAGATATTACTGTTTGTGGATCATTTTTGGATCATTTCTCTTCTGATAGTACATTCTAATTTTAAAAACTTGTGCAGGGGRTGGGGTGTGCAGAATTCTGTACCACTCAAGTTGTTCCAAAACCAGGCTTGGAAATCATTAGTGGTGACAAATGACAAAGAAAGTGCCAACTTTTTGAAAAATTGTAATTCTATGGCAAGTATGCTAAAGAAGCAAAAAACAGCTTCAGAATTTATTTTTTTTTCAAGTTAACTTATTAGTGTCTTCTTGTTGGGGGAATCTGCAATGATATATCTAACTCAAAAGAAGGGAGATCTGTTTCCATCCTGCATTCTCTATCTGAAGGCTTTATTTTTACTCTTTTTTTAAAAAAAWWTTTTTTARTTGTATATAGATTGTTGTCAAAGCCTTATTTGTTTTTATGTGGTACTAGGATTGAACCCAGGCAAGTGCTCTACCACTACAACTCCAGTCCTTATTTTTACTCTTTACCAATCATCTCCCCAATCCCAAGGATTTGAAATCACAACTTATTAGTGATTCAGTCTCCTTAATCTTCAAAAAGTGACCTGCTAAAAGGATTTGGTGGTCAGGGCAAGTTGGAATGATTACATTCATATATCCCCAAGACTGAATCAGAGACTAAAGACAGGCCATGCACCTTGGCTTCCAGGGCTAAGAGAGTCTAATTAAGTGTCCTTTCTTTCTTTCCTTTTTTTTTTTTTTTAAATGAAACTCCTCTAAGAGTAAGTAAAGTCTATGGGGTTTTTGTTTTTGTTTTTTGTTATTGTTGTTTTGTTTTAAACAAGAGATTGAATCCAGGGGCACTTAAACACTGAGCTATTTTAATTTTTTTATTTTGAGACAAGGTTTCCCTAAGTTGCTGAGGCTGGCCTCAAGCTTGTGATCCTCCAGCTTCAGCCTCTTGAGTTGCTGGGATTTTAGGCCTGTACCACCTTGACTGGCTCAAAGCCTTTAATGGTCAGCAAAGAGCACTGCAAAAAGGTAGTTTGGAGTCTCCCAGATACACATTATGAAGTCTGAGGAAACCTGCAAAGTGAGAAGAGATCATGCAGAGGGGGCATTCAGAGTGACATTCAGGTGGCATCACTCACCATGATGGTACAGGATTGGGACAGTGATAGATTAAAAGGTTGAAATTGGAAAGAATGAGACAAGACCCAGGTAAGTCAGAAATTGTACAATTCTCTAAAGGAAACACATAGTCACAGAATCAAGTGGGCTAATGTGAAGAGCCTGGGGCAAGACTGCTTACTGAAGAGTTTTACAAGAGTCATCACTGAATTTGGGCACAGATCCTGAAGTGCATTGGGCTAAGAAGTGCAAGGAAGTTTTGTGTAGTTTGGAGGTGAGAGATTTGTACTTGAAACAGAAAAGAGCTTGAGGATTGTGCCCCAGAGTGATACAGGCTTGGGCAGCAATGCTATGTAGCCTGGGTCACCTAGGGACAACCACACTGGCAAATGTAACCAGAAGATTATTTTTCTTCACAGTAATATAACAATATGACTGTATCAGAACATTTTCTAAGGTTAGATGCTTTCTTCTTTCCCTTCCCCAGGGATACCCAGTGATAGATTTGAAGGAAAAAAGAGACAGAGAGATATGATAGTTTGAATTAATTATTTTTTAAACAGGAAAAAACTCCACCACAACAAAATATATTACATTCTTCAGGCATGGGAATATAGGACTCCTGAATTAATTCTTACATGAAAGCAAAAATAAGAGAAGACAGTTATCCCACCAATCCCTGCCAAAACTTCATCATTAAACGTACTATTAAAAGCAAAATAGATAATGGAGCCACATACTCCCTGCTCATTCTCTCTCTCTGTATTACATTATAGGTAGACATGCATGCGTAATATGTATATATGTTTGGGAGAGCTGGAGCAGATGAGGAGTTTGGTAATAAAAAGGCTTAAATTAAAAAAAAACTATGATGGCTAAAAAGAAATCTGTCAGTAAAGTTGCCTTTTATCTTTTCTTCCCGATTTTCCCTGAACCTGTGATATCATCCTATTTTAAAATGCAAGAAACACAAATCTGAAGAGGTACACTCTTGACAACAAGATGAAGTAATAAGACCCTGACAGCTTATATTTACCCCTGTCAAAGTCCTTCTACTGGGCAAGAAATGATTTATTTAGATGCTGTAATTCCTTAGGAAAGTGGATGCTCCTAAATAACTGAATGAGATTTTCTGGAAGTTTACACAGCCATGTTTATAAGTGCAATGGATCTTCAGAGAAGAACATAGGATGTTCTATATGCTTAATTCTTGGAGCCAGACACAAAGAATTTTTGCAATGTAGTATATGTGTAAAATTTGTCGACATTTAGGCAAGAATGCCAGCCTAGGAGCAGGGAAGAGTTAATCCAATACTCTTAATTTTTATTGATGGGAACATCACTGTTTTGTGCCTTCTGCCAGACAGTGATAGACAGCCCTGTACATGAGTTCCATATTAGCAAACTAAAAGTTTTTTCAATCATTCAGCTTCATTTTAGATTTCCAAGATAAAGGCATCTACTATGATAGTTCAAAACTTATAAATATGTGTGTGTGTGTGTGTGTGTGTGTGTGTGTGTGTGTGTGTGTGTTGTATTGGGGGAATGTATGTCAAGTTCACTTGGGAAAATACTCCAGCACAATTCTGTCTTACCTATTGAGGTGTTTACCTCATTTTCTTTTTCTTTTTTTGATAAGAGAAACAAAATGAAATTACTAAAAGACAACCTTCTTGCTCTTGTATGCATTTACAAACTGGACCTGTTTATGATGCCCTTAACAGTTTGGGGGCAGTACAAGTTTGTAGAAGCTATGGATGCCAATATTTGGAACAAAATATTGGCAATGAACTGTTCAGATAACACATTAAGGAGGACTGGTTTAGGTATGGAGATGATTAAGTCAGAAAAAAAGAATAGGGCATCATGAGGTACATCAGAATCAGCAGGCAGTAATTCAAGATCATTATTATCAAGAGGATAGTGATTCCTTGTTGTTTGTCCATAATTTGCTATGTATGGAATGTGTGTGGAATTTTCTCTAGCTAGCTTTAAAAATAGAATTGTCAATGTCTCATGAGGCAGAGGAAATAYAGAGTCTGCTCTGGAATCAAGGAATAAACCTAGATAACCTTTCAAATTTCCCATCCTACACCAATATAAACATGAAATACCAGTTTTGCTCAACAGATATAGTTACAATGAGAGTGAATTAAAATGCAGGAACAAAATGTCATTCCTTAAACAACATATAGGTGGGAGATTTGATAAGATATTATGCGTTAAGCTTTAAGATATTATGGGTTCAGTTGAAGCAGGTTGATAAATGAAAATCTTTTTCATAAATTKAAGTATAAGTCCACAAATTCTCAATATAAATTGTCTAAGAAGGACAGCTCTGATGAAATTGAAAATGTTTCCTCCATATGTKCAGTTTCAGGCCTTATAACATTTAAAGAAAATGTTCTAAAAGATAAAGTTGGCATGTAAAAAGCACAGGGAAAGGAATCAGCAATGATCAGAGCAAAACAATTCTAGAAGGCATCTTAATTTTCATATGGCTCATTTGCATTTGAAACACTGAGAATTCCTATCTCGCTTGTACAAAAATATGTACATATTAAATTACTTTGCACTTGAAAGAACATTTTCCTAAATGTTTGGAAGATGATCAAATTTTAACTGGAGGACTTGTTTTCTTCCATCAGGTGTGGGGGAGATGTGGCTTCCTGGTATGAGAGGCAACAGTTGATTCTAATAGCAGAACAAGACAAAAATAAGAAGGTAAATTGAATACAATTCCTACAGATACAGTTTGAGTTAAAGGTGGTAAAAACAAAAAGGATATGTATGGTAYAAAGATGTCAAAAGCATCAATTTTAAAATCATGCTTAGTTATCTTTCCAAAAATGGCAATCCTCTGATACTTGAAAGTTAGGTTCTATTAGTTATTCCAGGATTTTCATGGATGTACTGTTATTTTATTCCGATACACTTATTTCTGAATATTTAGTCAATATTTTAAAAACAGCTCTCTACCAGCTATAAAACAATAATTCCAGGGGTTGACATTTCCCTCATTTCACATTTTTAAAAGCTAGGATATTGGTCAAACAGCACRGGCTTCAAACCTCTTTACTACTACCTCTTAGACACTATTTACTCGTAAGGAAGATGTTGGTCATTCGCTCAGAGACGTAGAAACCAGAATCTAGATAGAAATTTGAACTTATAAGATGTAATCACACTGAATGAAAAAAATCTTTGTGTAATTTTTAGTTTCTTTTCTGATAAAAGTAATTTCTAGGAATGTCCTCAGAAAGAAAACCAGAACCTGAACGGCATCCTCTTCCAGCCCTGGCCTTGCTCTCTGGGACTCCCTAAGCAGAGGGAGCTATTGAGTGTGGTCTCATGGTGGGTGCTGAATGGGGCCCATGGGGTGTGGGTGGATAAGATGCGTTTACTAAGGGTACAGAACACATTGTAATCTTTTAAATGAGATTAACTAGTGCACGCTGCCTTTGTGTTCCTTTTCCTTCTGTTGTCCCRGAGTCTTTGGAACCCTTCTGTGAAGTTTCTGCTTGGCATTAGTTGGACTCAAGACTGTGAAGGAGAAGGTGGCCTGGCTGTGCACCAGAGCCTTAAAGGGAAAGCAGCACCTCAAGCCCCCAGCYCCCTCAAGGCCAGTGTGATGACAATTCCTCAGGTAGAAAAACAAATAAGGGTGGGGGCAAGAGGCAGGGTGGGCTGTGACACTGTTTTTCCTCCCAGGCCAGTGGTGCAGAATAGGTGAGATATTTTTAAGGGAGCAATGATCTTTTTTTACACAATTCACACTGTATTTTAGATTGCTGCCTAAAACTTATTTAAACAAACTATTTTTTTTTTGTTATATAAGTGTAATAGGCACTGGGCTTAATTTGTGCAAGATTAATAGTGAAGGGTAAATGGCCCATGAAATAAAAAATTGGAAACCCAGATATTTTACATACACAGAAATAATTTAACATTTCATTTTATTAATTAKTTTGATCTTTTTTTTCCTCCCAACAAACTTCTGTTTTAACTACTAAGAGATGGGGGGTTGAAGGGGGGAGACTATCTTTTCCTTTATGGAAGGCATGCTAATGAGAGGATAAATGACCAAAAACTAGATCAAAGATAGAAGATGGAAGATTAAGTAAGCACAAAATGTGATAATGGTCAGCCTCTGATAAACTGAAAATTATCATCTTAGTTTATTAGTAAACTATATATGTGTGTGTGTGTGTATGTATGTATATATATGCATAAATACTAGTATATATGTATAAATACTAATATATTTATGCATATATATACATGTATACATATATTAGTATTTATTAAATACCTTCCATATGTCAAATATTRTTTTAGGTGCTGGGTTTATAAAATAAAGAAAAAAGAAAACCTCTAACCAAAAGAAACCTACTTTCATGAAGTTTCTGTTTTAACTTCAAAGTTATTCTGAGACCAAGTGAAGGACCTAATAAGCTGCAAAATTAAGGTTAGTCATAAGAGTCACCATTTTGTTTTGCAATATTAGCCCATTTTAAGATAGGATTTAATTCCCAGATGTCTGGTTTCATCCCTTTGTTTCTGGCAAAGCTTGTCCTTGATTTTGAGGTAAAGCCTAAAAAAGGCAGACCTAGCTGTCTTCATGGGTGAAAAATGGAAGAGTAAAATTTCTTTTATTGTGCATCTGGAGGCAACGGAAAGGGAACTGGATTCTTTGTAATGGAAGTAAAACTCAGTTCTGTTGTAATCAGGGTTTCACTGTACAAATTTATATTTTACATACACGATCTGGCAGGTTGCCAATGTAGTAAACGAGTTATGTGATTATTTGAGTGCAAGCTGGCACAGTGGTGTGCACCCATAGTCCCAGTTACTTGGAAGGCTGAGGCAGGAGGATTGCTTGAGCCTAGGAGTTGGAGACCAGCCTAGGCAACATAGTGAGAGCCCGTTTCAAAGAGAAAATAAGTGTAGTTGGAATAAGATTTCACAGCAATCTGAATATTTTCATAGTTTTAGATTTTATTACGTCAATCATCAATATTTATTAAGATAAACAAATGCAACTTAACCAGAACAGGAAAAGGTGTTGGCGTCTACCTTGTCTCACTTTGAAAGGTAGAAAAATGGAATAATTTTTAGAGCACATTAACTTTTGAATGGAGGTACCTGCTGACGCCTTCTGTTTCTTCCTTCATTACGTGCTTTTCTTTTCATTTGATCCTCTTGAAAGGAATCAAAGTAGGAGCTCTCTAGGAGTTGGGCACAGGTTAACCTGTCATCTGGATTCATCTTCAAACACCCCTTTGGAAGAATAGAAAAGCAAAGCAGGTATTTGAGGGGCTTATTTTATTACTGTGCCCCAAGCCCTGAACAATAACTTGATGGAGTAAACATTAGTTTAGAAAACCAAGTGTGTTTATTATATTTGAACTGGTGAATGGAGCTGCTCTTTGGCCTGGTGCAGGGCACAAAACTGTAATTCTAGTTACTTGTGAGGCTGAGGCTGCAGGATTGCAAATTCAAGGCCAGCCTGGAAAACTCATTGAGACCCTTTCTTGAAATAAAAAAATAAAGAGAGCAGGGGATGTAGCTCAGTGGTAAAGTGGTACTTCAATCCCTGGTACCAAGCACAAAAACAAACAAACAAAAAAATGGAGCTGCTCTTTTTTTTTGCTGCTTCAGGATAGAAGTATGGATACTCAATGTCTCTGGGAAAGGCCACGTGTAAATGACATGTTCGCACTAAGACATCTTTTCATCACTGGTAAAAGCAAACCATAGGAGTCTTTTTTGAGTGTTGAACTAGCAACATCAGCATGGCCCCAGGAGCTGGTTAGCATAGTAAATTCTAGGGTCCTACCTGCTGTAGCAAAAGTGCTAGAGATGGGGCCTAGTAACCTGCACTTAACTAGCCCTCTAGGGTTATTCTTATGCCATAYGCTGGAGTCTGAGGACCACCGGTATAAGATGGCTGAGGAAGTGTGAACCTCAGTAATGGGAAAGAACCTAAAACATGGAGAAATGAAATGTATTTTCATACCAGAGAAGTAAAGGCCTAGGAACTAGGTATTGTGACACTTCATATTCAAGGCTATCAGGAGTCTCTAGGACTGCCTCTGGGATCAGGGAGCACTGTGACAACAGAGGAGCCACTGGCAATCCTGACACAAAGAGGTTTTTCCTGAGAAGCCCTGATATTCTCTGGTCAGAGAATGAAGCTTTCCCCCATCTAATAAAGGCAGATTCCAATCCATAAAGAATTGGAGCAGGTTTACAACACCCAGGCACTGATGACCTGAAATTTCTTGTCTATGCCATAAGAGAGAAATGAGGGTCACTGACATAACAAATATTGTTCTGAGGCAGTCAGGTATCCAGAAAACTGCATGCCTGATGCTGCCCCAGCCATGGGCTGCCCTGTCACATCTGCTCCTTCCTAACCCAAGTTGATTTCAGATCTCTGAGACCCCTGTGAATGTTACAGGTCTCTAAGCACTGTCACCTGCCCCTTAGAGCAGTATCTGATTAGTCCAGCTCTTCAAGAAATGACCTTGCTCAGCATAACCAGACTCACCTGTCCCTCTGTGACTATGACTTGCTCCAGGCAGGTCACCCCTAAGTCTTGATCCATGCATATATTAGTTCTAGCTGCTATGGGGAGGCAGTCTTCTCAAATCCTATTACTGTCAGGGCTATAACCAGACAGAAAGACTATTTTGAATACAAACTGTGATAGTCTCTATTTCTTCATCACTTCCCAACTTCTGATTCCATCATTCCACACAAGTGGCTTTTGTTATTAACACCCATAACCTCTATTTCTATATCATAAATCCAATAGTTATATTCAGTTCTGATCTCAATAGTATTAAATACTACTGACCAGGTCCTCCTCCTTTCCCCTGCCCTCTTGGTACTGGGGATTGAACCCAGGGTGCTTAACCACTGAGCTACATCCCTAGCCCTTTTTATTGGTCTCACTAAATTGCTGAGGCTGGCCTTTAACTTGGAATCCTCCTGCCTCAGTCTGCAGAGTTGCTGGGATTACAGGCATGTGCCACGGTGCCCAGCTAGGGTCCTTCTTAAAACTCTCTTSTTGGTCTTTGCTTTTCCTTTCCTTTCCTTCCTTCTATCTCTTGACCACTCTCTTTCAACTAGCCATTGCTAGTGTACTATCCCCCTAATGGTTGAATGGAATTCTTCCCGACTCAGTCCTAGCTTCCCCACTTTCTCACCTATTCTAAGTTTCTACTGATCTCATTAATGCCCATGATTTCAGTTACAAAGGTTTATCAGAGTTTTCCACATCTATAATTCTATTCCAGTCCTGTCCTCTGAACTCCAGAGCCACATATGTAACTGTCTACTTAATAATACTTCTTAGTCTTGAGAACACTGTTACCGGTTGAATTGTGTCCCCCACAAAATACATGTTGAATTCCTAACTTGCTGTACCTCAGAATGTGACCTTGCTTGGAAATAAGGTCTTTGCAGAYGTAATTAGTTCAGATGAGGTCATAATTAGTAAGTAGACCCCCCAATTCAGTTATTATTGGAATCCTTATAAGAAAATTAAAGACAGCATAGAGACAGACACATAAAGAATGCACCTCTATTCAATAAYAGAGGTGGAGATTGCAGTTATAACATCACAAGCCAAGGAATGCCCAAGTCTCCCAGAAGCTGCAAGAGACCAGGAAGGATCCTTGCCAAGAGACTTCAAATAGAGCGTAGATCTGCCAACAGCTGGGAAACAGAGTCAGGCACCTCATCCTTGCCATTCTCTTCTTACTCCCCATGTATAAGTCATAATTAAGTCCTACCAGTTTTCCTTTCAAATATATCTTTACTTTATTCTCCTTCCCTCCTTCCTTCCTTCCTTCCTTCCTTCCTTCCTTCCTTCCTTCCTTCCTTCCGTGCTGAGGATTGAACCCAGGGCCTTGTGCATGCTCTACCAACTGAGCTATATCCCCAGCACTCATTCACTTTCTTGTAGGGGCTTTTGATCTACTGAAATCTAGTTTTATTCATCAATAAAGACCTTTGAGTGTTTATTTCAAAGTGCATTTTCTGATTCTAAGAAGAAGCTTGGACTGGAACAATGTCCTGCTGATTAATTTTGGAAGCACTGATTTTGATTGGGTGGGAGCTAGGGCTTCTGAGTCCTTGCCTGCCTGGATTAATAATTTTATGTACATCAAGAAGATGGTGAGTTTTCAGAGGTACACCCTGATAGTTGTGCTTCCAATATGGAAGAGGTCCTAAAGATGGGATATGAGAAATTGGAACTGTAAGTCCAAGTCAGGATCCTTTTCTTAAAAAACAAAACAAAACAAAACAAACAAACAAACAACAACAACAGAAGAAAACAAAAATGATTTTCAAATTTGGCAGAAAATTCTCTAACAAAATCTCTAGTCATTTACAGTGTTCCTGATGATCATACAAACGGAAACAGTGGTAGGATGGTCAGGACTATGGAGAAAATGAGTAATCAATAATAAAGATTATGGCCATGGACTCATTTTAAACTTAATGAAGAGAACACAAAAGACCTGCCACAGATTGGCTGATACATGTCACCACTATCCTTGGCACTGTCATTGGCCAACACTTCATCAACTTGAGCACCTTCCTGCATAGGTTATAATCTGGTATCATGGAAAAACTACCTGTTATTGCAAATAGTAGTTACTTGTTGTCAAAGATGTCTTAATTATCATTAATTCAAGATAATTTTATTTTATCTAACATGGGCAGGAGTCTAGGAGATAGGGTGTAGTCATAAAATAGCACAAGTCTTGACCACATAGAGAATTCTTGGATCTCTAATCAATACTTAATGGGTCTAAATCAAAGAATTGAGTAACAAACCCAGCTTCATCTAGATTCTTAGGCAAGCCATCAGGGTGCTTCCTCTTTTGGAGATGAAGATCAGGAGCTTGTCCTATAACTTAACGTTTATGTCCCCTAGAGTTGTGCTCTGTGAAGTTTTCAGGTTAACTTGAGAAACAACTACAGGCAGACTCTGGCCTACACCTGAGAATGGGTTGGGCATGCAGTGTCTGACTGYTTGGAGGTTTTGCTAAATTGCTGGTGGGTCAGAACACTCACCAGAACAAGGGCAGGGAACTGGGCTTCTAAGACAGGACCTGCAGAGTGTGGGGTGGAGGCAGGTCAGCTGGCAGCTGAAGTCAGGTGCAGCACTGGTAAGAGCAGTGTCAGCTTAGAGGTGTCAGGCTCTGAGCCTCAGGAGGACTCAGACTGAAGAAGTCCAGTACCCTGGATAGCACCACAGCAGACACAAGCACCTAGCACAAACACTAATCTAGAAAGTTGACTCTGGGTCATCTAAAAGGCCCACTGGCTAGACCAGATGAATTGCAAACTGAGTTGTATATCATGCCATCTAAGAGAATGTTTAAAGAGAACAAATTTCAAGGTCCTACTCATGGAAATTCTCCTGGTGAACTTAAGGCTAGATATATAAACTGTATTTTTACAAAGGTCCCAGGTCATTCTGCTGAGCAGCCACATTTAGAAAGCACTGCTACAGACAGAACTTAACTGATTGTTAAGGACAGATATCACTTCTGGATCTTCATGTCCATCTCTCAGAGTACTTTCAGCATCCATGATGGATGGGTCACTAGCACCTGCTAGTGTGGCCTCCGTTGGCAAAATACAAATGGCAGACAGGTCATTGGTAAGCTTCTTCAGGTTTGGATCAAAACTTGTTCTTTGTTTAACAATCTCTCTTGGGTCTACTGTATGGGATAGGTCTGTTCTATGAGGTAGGTTTCCTCTATATAGGTCTGCATGGTTCTCTTTTGCCTGATCTTAGCTACTAATTTTGGTGGATATGTTAGAACTGTTACTGCTTAAGCCACTGATGTCCCTTTAGCTAAAATTATTTTATAGTTCCTTATCTTTTTTTTTTTTTTTTTTGGTGGTGGTGCTAGGGATAGAATCCAGGGCTTCACACTTGCTAGGTAAGGGCATTATAACTGAGCTACCCCATGATAATGATATTCCTTATCATTTTTTTTTTTGAGAGAGAGAGAGAGAGAGAGAGAGAGAGAGAGAATATCTTTTTTTTTTTTTTTGGTAGATGGACACAACACAATGCCTTTATTTTTATGTGGTCTTGAGAATTGAACCCAGGTCCCGCCCATGCTAGGCKAGCGCTCTACCACTGAGCCACAATCCCAGCCCTCCTTATCATTTTTAATGACTATATTTCACTTTGGAATTATTTGTCCATCCCTCCCAGAATTATTGGCTTTAGTCATTACAATTTGCAGTCAATAACAGTTATAATTAATTAAATTTTTGGTGCTGGGGATTAAACCCAGGGCTATAAGTATGCTAGGTATACATGTTACCGCTGAGCTATACCCCTAGCCCAGTTATAATGAATTCTAAGTACCTTCATGAAATTCAAAGCCACAGGATAAGCATCTGAGAACTTTTCCTCAAGAGTTTCCTGGAAAACAAAATAAAGAATTTCAATGTTATATAACAACAAAGTAACATATATTTCTCATATATGTTAAATATTACAAGTGACATTAAGTACACTTCCCTTAATATGTTAGATGATKCCTTATATATAAAAATCATGTTTTTACATATTTTATATTGATGTAAAATTCTGAAAGTCATTAAACTGGAGTTATTGTCTTAATTTCAAGAAAGTTGCACTGACTGTCTTATAACTGGTGTTGGTTATTTTGGAGAGAAGGAGATGGGAAAGCTTCAAATCTAAAGCTAAAAAATATCTGCTTCYGAAATCCTACCATGGTGTTCTAGTATCTGTGCCTGATCTACTTATAAGGATGTTTTGAGCATTCATGAGAATATGTTGAACTACATGTACAAAATTATAGAAATCAACAAAGAGATAAACATAAGGTTCAGAGTAGTAAAGAAAGGAGATGGGGAAGCTCCAAAGACAATAGTAATATTCTATGTCTTTAACTTGGCTGCAGACTCATGTGAGTTTGTTGTATCTTATTCTTTAAACACATGTTATATAAATATTCTTTGATAATCTTTAATTTTATAATTCAACCCATAACCCTGTATTATATTTGTTGAAGATTTTAAGAAATAAAATGAAAAAATCAGTACAAATCAAGGTATTACACCAACTAATTGACTTTAAATGAACAGGGTGTCTAGAGATAGTTGGGACTATTTGAACCTCAGGTTGCTCACACATGCCATAAATCATGATCTGGCTTCTCAGATTTTCTCAGACGTTTTCCCATCCCTATGCTACTCTGATTCCAACACAGCTTGAGTGTGGATGCGTGCCTCTCTTGACATTCCTTTCCTTCCCTAGGCAGATTCTAGACCATATGGAGTTTTAAAGGTCATAGTCTGAACTTGGGTAACACAGACAGGAAATCAAGTCTACAGAGGGCAAGAGAGTCAAATGGTTATTGATACATTCCCAGATAAAGGCAGAGACCATCGCAAGAGCACAGAGATGATGGATAATTTGGAATTTAATGAGTATAACAAGGATTATTTTGTAAAATGACCTTACATAGAAAAATAAAAATTACAAAAAAGTGTTTTTTTTTTTTTTTTTTTTTTTTTTTAGGGCCAGGACTAAATCCAGGGTCTTCCTTGCATATGCTAGGTGAATATTCTGCAAGTGAGCTAAATATCCAACTCCCCAAAAAGTTTATTTTTTTAAATTGATTTGAACTTTGTTTCATAAGCTGAAAAAATTGAGCATGCATATCTTCAAAATAAGGAAGACTAAGTAYTGTTTATGAAGAAATAATTATTTTGGGGAAAATTAACATCAGTGCTTTGACTAAAATGATCAAGGCATTATGTAAGACACTAAATATATTTCAACTTAAATTTAACATTGATCTGTGTTCATATTTAGTATAGAAAATAGAAGCCAAAAGCTAAATATTAAAAAAGAAAGAACTACCTTTTTATAGAAAGTAGCAACACAAAAAATAAAATATCCAAAATAGAGCAGTTTACCATGTCTTCAGGTTCAGGTATACTGATGCCATGGAAAAACTGGTTATTTTGAAAGATGGACTGATGTCTTGGAATTAGTTTTCCTATAAAACACAAACCATGTAGCTCTTGAAAATTTTGGTCAAAAAAACATAAAGTATGTAAACAATGATTAGCTTTCAAGGTCCAGGTATGAAGGAAATATGGTGCCRGCTTATTTTCTCTAGATATGGGAGGATTGGTCCCCTGCAAAAGCACATCTGTGGACTTAAGGCCAATTCTCTCACATAAAGCTCTTTGCTGCATGTGGTTTGGCCTGCCATATAGCCTCTATCAAAAGACCAGGTGAGGTGATGGCGCTAAGGGCTTCATATACTATCTCATTCAATCAMAGCAGTATTGCTATTTTTAATCTTCACTGTATCAATGAGGAAAATGAGGCTCAGAGAGGTCTAATTACTTGTCCAAGATCACATGGTAAAGTAAATGACAGACCCAGGATTCAAACCAGGTCAGTCTTATATCAACCTAATGAATATAGTAAAACAATTAAACAATATACACTTAAGGTATGGTCTGTGGTTATACTCTGCCCCAAATTTTCAGGCTGAATTCTCTAGGAGAATGTATTGGAACAAACAGGGAAATATACAGCAGCCATGCTACCAGGAGAGCCTAGGAAAAGTAAACAATACATACTCATTTGGGTGCAAAGGTATCACTTTCTTTGTATCCAGGCTTCTGGAACAAGGCTGCAGCTAATGTTGGGGTTATATTCTCTTCCAACTATGAAAACTCCTGAGCATGCTAACACATTCTGAAAACTTGTGAAAAAAACCCCATCAGTCTTATTCCTATTCTATACTGGATATATGACTTTAGGCCAATCATGGAGGCTCCCTAAGCCTCACTTTTCTCATTTACAAAACAAAATGGGCACAATTAAAAATGGTTTTAGGGCTGGGGATGTGGCTCGCCTGGCATGCGTGCGGCTCGGTTCGATCCTCAGCACCACATATAAACAAAGATGTTGTGTCCGCCGATAACTAAAAAATAAATATTAAAAAAAATTCTCTCTCTCTCTCTCTCTCCATCACTCTCTTAAAAAAATGATTTTATTTCCACAACAAGTTTCAGCAAGAAATAACATGTATGAAAGTAATTTGTAAATTCTTGAGTACTATACATATAAATGAGATATGTTAATATTGTTTTAAACTCTGGCAGTCACTTCGAACAGAAAATAAAAAACTCTTAAGCTCTAGGGCAGGGGGTCTACAAATTAAGGCCCTCAGGCCAAATCTGGACCAGTGCTTGAGATCTAAGAATGGTTTGTAATTTTTAAATGGATTAAACATAAATAAAAAGAATAGTATTTTGTGCCATTTTAAAACCACGGAAAAGGCAGGGGCAGGCTGGATATGGCTGCTTTTGCACTACCAGAGCAGAGTTGAAGAGTTGCAACAGAGACTGTATTGCCTACAAACCCCAAATTCTTATCACTGGTCTCTGATAGAAAAAAAAAAATTGCTGACCTCTGCTCTTGCATAAATGGGGAAAACCTTTGCATTTGATTCAGTATCTCTTAATTAAGCTCTTAATTAAGCTCAGCAGACTATATACTTATCCCTACCTTATCCCACCATGGAAGTAAATGTATAGTTTATTCCATGGCTAGTTGGTTTTTCCTTGGAAAAGTATCTGAAAACTCACTGAGAGGAGCTACGGCTCTATGTACTGAGAAAAGGACTGGGCTTTGGCCACAACTCAGAACCCATAACCATCATCCTAAGTAGCACTTTGGAGAAACAATAAAACTCTTATCATTACGCTAACATAATAATACTATAACACTTTAGGGACACCCGTGAGTCATAAAGTACAATTCATACCCAGTGTTCTGATTATCAGATAAAGCTGGTCCACATCTGATTTTCCAGGCCAGAGTGGCTGGCCAGTCAGGAGCTCTGCAAAAACGCAACCAACAGCCCACACATCGRCGGAACAATCGTATTGGGTGTCTCCCACGAGAAGCTCAGGAGCCCTGTACCACCGAGTGGCAACATAATCAGTGTAGATGTCTCCTGGAACTGCAAGAGCATCAAGCAGATCAGGTGAGTCATATTCTCCAAAGATGTGAACCTGTGAACTCCTCCCTAGAGCAGGTCGGACATTCAAGTAAGTTTTATAGCTCAGAGGCCCTGATCCTGCTAATGGTCAATGAATCGAGGCACTGAGTCACAGTCGCACTGTGCGCTGAGGCGGCCAATTCAACTTTCAAGAGAAGCTTTGCTGATCAGTATCCACATCATAGCTGAAGAGGCTAGGGCGGGTGGTGAGGAGGGAGTAACTTCAAATCTAAACCAACAATTTTTTGCTTACACATTATCATCAGCATTTTGCTTGTTGAAAAAATTGGGTCCCCTCAAAAGAGATTTGAAGTCCCAAATGTGTAGCCATGAATGTGACTATATTTGGAAATAGGGTCTACACAGAGGTCATCAAGTTACAATGAGGTCATATCAGAACACACAGACTTACAGGGAGAGCCCCTGGTGAGTCAGAGGCAGATACTGCAAGACCCGAATGCAGTCTTTAGAAGCAGGGGCCTTCAAAGCAGGGCCCTGCTGGCAACTTGGTTTTGAACTTTAGGCCTCCAGGATTTTGAGGAAATAAATTTCTGTTTTAAGCACACAGGTTATGATTATTTATGGAGGCCACAAGTAACTAATGCAGTACTGGACAACTGGATTAAACTAATATTTATCCAAATTTGTGACAAACACTTCAATTTGACTCCTTGAACTGAGACACACATAGTGTATGACAGGCAGATGAGAGAGCTAGGTGCGATCTCACTGGCCAGTTCTGGCCCACTGCCCCAGGTGTGGACTGCCTAGGGCCAAGGCACTTGCCTCCCAAGTGGGCAAAAGCCAATTCCATAATTGCTACAAGACCCTAAAGGTCCACGAACCCCAGTTTTCTCCTTTTAGGTTGAAGAGAATTTGGTAAAATAATACCATGGGCTTTTAACTGGCAAGAGTCACATATCAGTTCATATATGACCTCTACAAATGCATAATGGGAAAAACTGGCAAGATRACCAGCTTGCAGAGATGAGGTCATGGGCAATTCTCTTAGGAGAGGCCTCAGGCCAGCAAGACTGCCACAAAAGACAGCTGCAGGTGTCACTGAAGAACAGCCCTCACAGCACTCACCTATTGCTCTTTTATAAAATTATACAAATTTCTGAATGATAAGAATTAATAAATACTATTTAGGATATTTGGAAATAGAAAAATAAAGAAAATAACAACCACTGAAAATTCTTATTTTCACAGGTTAAGTTAGGTGCTGTACATTTTTTTATTAGTTGTTCAAAACATTACATAGCTCTTGACATATCATATTTCGTACATTTGATTCAAGTGGGTTATGAACTCCCATTTTCCCCCSGTATACAGACTGCAGAATCACATCGGTTACACATCCACAAGGTGTTGTACATTTTTGAAACATCTTTATCTTATCAAAGTCATATAAGAATATGAAAAATATGATAAACAAAAAGAAGAAAAATAAAATAAATTAAGTTTTATCATACAAAGATACCTTGTATTAATCTTTTGATGCATCTTATTTTTTCCCTTCTTTTTGTGATAACATAATTTTTAGTAGTTTTGATAYATATATGTGTGTGTATATATCTACATATGTATATAATTTTGTGTTCTGCTTTTCACTCCATTCCACATATTTACTACGCTGTGATAAACTTTATGAACTTGAGTTCAATGGCTGCCTGATAGTTTACCAAGTGCATATGTCATGATTTACTTCATCTTTCCCAAATTTTCTGATATTTTACCATTATAAATAATCACAGATTGAAAATCTCTAACCCAAGCTTTTTCTGTATTTAGGATTATTTCTTTTTCTTTTCTTTCTTTCTTTTTTTTTTTTTTGGTACTAGGAATTGAACCCAGGGGTGCTTAACTACTGAGCCACATACCCAACCCTTTTTATTTATTAAGTTAACACTGGGTCCCCCTGAGTTGCTTAGGGCCTTGCTAAATTGTAATCCTCCTGCCTAAGCCTTGGCCTTGAATTTACAACCCTCCTGCCTAAACCTTCCATGTCATTGGGATTACAGGCATATGATACCATGCCCAGTTTAGGATTATTTTTTAAAAATTAGTTGAAAGAATTACCATCTTAAGAAATATTAACATAATTTATACTTCATATTCTTTGTAGAACACTTGAGAAATGTAAATAAACAAACAAATAAAATCCCCTACCACCCAGAGWAACCATATTATATTTTGGTACATTTCCTTTCCTTCAGTCTTGTCTTGATTTTGCACACCCAAACACACACATGCAATTGGGAGAGCATGTTAGTAGTTTTGTATTATTCTTCTTCACCTGGCTCCACATCACAAGCCAAAGCATATTCTTGTGTCATTACAATTCTTCAAAATAAATTTTAATATGTGGTGTTAAGTCAGATACATTCTTTAGTCATTTCATTGTATCTGAAAAATCAGTTGCCTTTTAATTTTTTCTTATTATTTAAAAAATTTTTTTTCTTTTTATTTTATTTTATTTTTAATTTTTTTTATTGGTTGTTAAATTTTTTCTTATTAATACCTAGTCCTACAATGAACATCATGATGTACTTTGGGTAGGTAATATCCTGCGCTGTGAGAGATTCCTAAAAGTGGAATTAAAGGTTCAGAGTGAAAAGTTTTGATATTAACACATTGCTCTTCCAACGATTTGTTCCAAACTGTTCACACTAGCAACAATCCTCATAGTTAATGTTTATAAAACTTTGTCAGCTTCATTGGTGAAGARTAGTATTTTAATATGCATTCCTTTGACATCAGTGTGGAGGAAGATTATTCATATTTATTAACTTTTTCCTCCTCTTGGGAATTGTCTACTAATATCTTGTTAATTTTTCTTCTCAGAAAAATTAACAAGTATGGTGGCAACGCCTGTAATCCCAGTGGCTTGGGAAGCTGAGACAGGAGGATTTTAAATTCAAAGCCAGCCTCAGCAACAGTGAAGTGCTAAGCAACTCAGTGAGACCCTGTCTCAAAATAAAACAGGGCTGGGGATGTGGCTCAGTGGTTGAGTGCCCCTGAGTTCAATCCTTAGTACCAAAAATAAATTAAAAAAAAAAGAAATTCAGTGGTTTACTTTTTTTGTCAATTTACACACACACACACACACACACACACACACACACACACACATATATATATATATATTTTTTTTTTTTGGTGGTGCTGGGGATTGAACTCAGGGTCTTGGCATACTAGGCAAGCACTCTACCACTGAGATATATCCCAGCTAACATAAGCTTTTTATATCAATTTTAACTATAATATTGAAATATTCTTTCTCTTGAGTTAAAAATTTTATCTCTGTATATCTATATTCTATTATTTATCTATCTGGAGTTTATATTTGTTTTGTGGTAAAATGTACATAAAATTCACCATTTCAACAATTTTTAAGTGAGTTTGGTGGCATTAAGTACATTTACAGTTCATTGTGTAACCATCACTGCTATCCATATCCAGAACTCGTGCATCAGCACAATCTGAAACCTGTACCTAAACAATAACTCCCCATTTACCTCTTCCCAGTCCCTGATAACCACTATTCTTTTTTTCTGTCTCCATGAATTTGACTATTGTTGGTACCCTACATGAGGAGACTCAGACAGCACATGTCCTTTTGCATCCAGCTTACTTCATGTAGCATAATGTTTTCAACATGTATCCACATGGTAGCTTATATCAGAATTTCATTCAGGGCTGAATAACATTCCTACATGTCACCTTCTGTTGATCCACTCATCCTTGATGGACATTTGGATTGTCTTCACCTTTCACTACTGTAAATAATGCTGCTGTGAACATTTGTGGCAAGCATCTCTTCAAATTCCTATTTTTAATACTTTTGACTACATAACTAAGTAGAATTGTTGGATCATATGGTAATCCTCACCCACACTTACTCTGTTGTGTGTGTATGTGTGTATGTTGTTTTATAACAGTCACCCTAAAGAGTGTAAAATAGTACCTCATTGTGTTTTTTAGTTACATTTCCCTGTTGATTAATGGTAGTGCTTATTAGTCATTTGTATATCTTCTTTGAAGAAATATCTATTCAAGTCTTTTGCCCATTCTAAAATAAGTTTTTTTGTTGTTGAGTTACAGGAATTCTACATATTCATATTTTAGATATGAATTGTCAGATATAAATTTACAAATATTTTCTCCCTTTACATGGGTTGCATTTTCACTGTTTATAGCATCCTTTGAGGCACAAAAGTTTGATTTTGATGAAGTCCAACTTATCTAATTTTTTGCTTCTATACTTTTGGTATCACATCCAAGAAATCCYTGTTAGATAAATCTGAGTTCATGAAGCCTTTCCCCTGTTTTCTTCTAAGAGTTTTATAGTTTAAGCTTTTATATACAGGTTAGTGATTCATTTTGAGTTAATTTTTGTATATGGTTTAAGGTAAAGGGCCCACCTCATTCTTTTGCATGTGAATATATCCAGTAAAAGTTTAAAAAAAAATTTTTTTTAGGTACTTGGGGATTGAACCCAGGGATGCTTCACCACTGAGTTACAACCCTAGTCCATTTTATTTTGAGATAGAATCGCACTAAAGTTGTGAAGTTGGCTTTGAACTTATGATCCTCTTGCTTCAGCCTTCCAAATCCTTGGGATTATAGGCGTGCACCATCAAGTCTGGCAAGAGCTTAAATTTTTATGTAGTTTAGTCTATTTATTCAAGTATTAGTATTTTAGCACATAATATTATGGACACCCTTCTTCACCTTTCTCAGTATAAATGACCAACAATGACCCCAGCAGTGATCCAAACCCATACTGATAACAGTTTGAGCTGTAACCAGTGCCTGAGCTCATATCTTATGGGAATTTTAGTCAATGCGAACAAGTYGGCAGTGTCTTATACTACCACTTTGTTTATAACAACATACTAGAAGTTATAATTGTTGGGATTGTCAACAGTGTGTTCAATTTTCAGAGACTTTTGGATGTGTTCATGCAATCAAAATTTCTGAGACAAATGACCTTAATATTTAATTCAATTCTAAGATTCTTCATTCAGAGATGGATGTTTGCTACAGGAAGACTCAGAAAAAGGCAAGAATGCAGGTTCATGAAAAAAATCAAATATGTACATATTTTCAGCAAAACTGCCCATTTAGGGAGAAAAAAATCCCCCAAAGAACCATTTATAAGGTAACTTTAATATGAAATATTTCTTTTATGGTTTTTGTTTGTTTGTTTGTTTGTTTTTGGTACTAAGGATTGAACTCAGGGGCACTCAACCACTGAGCCCCAGCCCCAGCCCTATTTTTTTGTATTTCATGTAGAGACAGGGTCTCACTGAGATGCTTAGCACCTCACTTTTGCTGAGGCTGGCTTTGAACTCTTGATCCTTTTGCCTCCAGCCTCCCAAGCCACTGGGATTGCAGGCATGTGCCATTGTACCTGGCTCTTTTATGTTTTTAATGTTTGTAATGGCATATATATTTTTGTGACCAGATTGGATATTTTTGTAGTATAGAATGGATTTCCAGGGAAACAAACAAACCAAACACTGCATTTATGGGTACTATCAGAAGACTTATTCCCTTAATTTCCTGAATTGTGGGTCATATGTATTCCTGTCATTATTTTCTGTGCAGTTGAAATCATACTGTACACATCAGTTAGATTTTCTTTTTCATTTACTCTGAAAACCTCACTTCCAATGACTGCCAAATATTTCATGATTTGGATGTACTATATACTATGTGCAGAGATCATAGCTCTATTTCCCAGTGTTTGTCCTTTTAACCACATGGCACAGGGATCAATTATCCAGTTATCATTAGGGTCCCAATATGTTATACCACAAAGCACAGCAACCTCAGAAAATCTTTTTAACAGTTTTTGCCCAACCCTTCCAAATGCATTGTCAGGTCACCTGTATCTGTGTCCTATCAGGATTCTGATTATGCATATACCCATACTGCAAGGTATAAATTGTTAACACTTTGTGTGTGTGTGTGTGTGTGTGTGTGTGTGTGTGTGTTCGCGCGCACGCGCGCGCACAAAGTTCCAGATTCGGGGAGAATTAATTATTTGTCCCCTTTCCCTTCACTTCCTGCCTGCCTGGGATGATTTCTTTTTTCTTAGCACTGTCTCTGCATCCTCTCTCTTTAATTTTCAGTTGACATTTCCAGTCTCTCACCAGCTACAAGAAGTTTTTTTCCAACCACTTTAGCCCACATTAACATCTCCCTCCAGGGAACTGTCTGCACCTTCATTTTAGTTCTTTATTGCCAGCCATCTTGTATTATTCTGTTGTTTTTTTTTACTTTAGATCATAAGAGCATGAAGAGCAGAAATGCATTTATAATTCTTTTCTACTCCTGTGGGGCAAAGCACGTGAAAAAGTCATCCAATAACTTCTAGCTGAATGGAGTAGAGCTGAAATGCCAAATAATGTACTGACTAAAAGGCTAAAGTGAGATTTTTCTTTTCGGAAAAACAACACAACACTTAGCATCCGTCCAATATCTCAAGCAAGAATTTAAATTCTATCAGTTTATAATCATCTGAATTGGATAAAGTAGGTTAAAAAAAAATCKCTACTTACTCAGAATTCGTGCAAACCCAAAGTCACAGATCTTGATTATTCCTTGCTTGGTTATGAGAATGTTTTCAGGTTTTACATCTCGGTGAATACACTGGAAGACAATAGTTGATTATTTTTCTGGGCCATCATAATGACCAAGAATAAATATTAACTACTAGTATATCGACGAACAAGTAGCCTATGATATAAAAACAAAGATTCCCTTCATTTTTCTAAAAGAACTTAAATTGGCAGCTTTTACTTAAAATCTTATCATTTAAAAGAAAAAGAATATCCAAATGTTGCTACATTACTGAAGAAATTTAAATTACAGTTGTATATGAAAACTGTATCAGTTTTTTGGGGGGAAGAAGTGAATACTATACAATTATTTCTTTCACTTTTTATTGCGTTTATTAAAACTGCACTAGATAAGACCCTAACTGAAACTAGATTCCATGGACCTGTAGTAAGACCTGTGGCCACTTGAGACACACAAAAGAGGTTGAATAATTATTGTGGATTTGAGAAAATGGAAAGGCATTAAAATTATTTTTTTAAAAATTCACTTTTTAAAATCTGAGTGAGAGTATTGGTTTTTTTTTTTTTTTTTTAATCCAAATTAGGACCTCTGCGAGTATAAAGGGAGCTCTGTAAATAACCATGCCAGGAGAACAGGCGCAGACCAGAACTACCCTGGGTGAACTGTGATGTAGCCGCCTACTTAGATCTGAGATCCCAATTTTCTCTGTAATGAACTGACCAGGAATGATGGGGCGGCCCTCATGAGACGCTGACACAGTTCAGGAGGAGTCCCTCCCAGGAGGATAGGAGGACCCCTCTTGTGAGTCATTCTCACCTTGGAGAAGCTCTGCTGTTCTTTTTAAATATGTAGCGACCTTACAAATTTGCTGTGTCACCATGACCCTTCCTGCTGAACATGAGAAAGCTAAGCTGGGGACTTGGAGGAGGGCAAACAAGCGAGTGCACACATCATGAACCCAGGAGAGGTCTTCCACGTTGCAGAGGTACTGTGGCACGCGCCTATAATCCCAGTGACTTGGGAGCCAGAGGCAGGAGGATTTCAAATTCGAGGTCAGCCTCAGCAATTTAGCAAGGCCCTAAGCAACTTAGAATCTGTCTCTAAATAAAATATTTTAGGAAGGGGTTGGGGGGGGATATGGCTGGGTGGTTAAGCATCCCTGGGTTCAATCTCCAGAWCTAAAAAAACAAAGCAAAGCAAAACAAACAACTGTGGCCCTATTCTTCAGAACTTCTATCTTTTCAGATCATTTATTCCCCCCCCCCAAAAAAAAGAGAGTTAAAAATGATACCACTCTCTACCACTTAGCCCCCCATCCAGAGCTCTGTACTTTTCAAAGTACTTCCACATGAATTATTTCATCCTTGTAATAGTCCTGTGATTGTTGGTGGCCACTGACAGTCCACTGAATAAGTGCCACAATCAACTGTGTCTGCCTCACTTCTCTGCCATGCTGCCAGTCTCTTTAGGTATTTGTGTCAAATTGATAATTCTGAAATCATTTTTGCTTCAATAACCACTACCTAGAAAGAGAAAAAGCTAAAGCTTAAATTCATCTTAGGTCACAAAAATGGCAGTAGTGAACCTGAGGTTGTGGCTCAGTGGTAGAGCACCTGCCTCGAATGTGAGGCACTGGATTCGATCCTCAGCACCACATAAAAAATAAGTAAATAAATAAAATAAAGGCATTGTGTCCATCTAAACTAAAAAAAATAAAATAAAAAAATGGCAGTAGTAAAAGAAGCTTGTTTCTTTGTAATCTCAATTACTGACAACTGTTTCATAATGTGTACTTCTAGAAGTTAGAAGAAACATTTTAGATCTCCTAATACCTTAGGTATTAATCTTAAAAAATACATTATTGGAGAATAAAATAAAATATTTTTGATATGCCACTTTTTTTTCTTTTTTTGGCGGTATTGGGGATTGATCCCAGAGTTGCTCTACCTCTAAACTACATCCCCAGCCTTTTAAAATTTTATTTTGAGGCAAGGTCTCAATAAATTGCTGAGGCTAGCCTCTTGTGATCCTCCTGTCTCAGCCCCTGAGTTGCTGGGATTACACGCATTGACTAACTTTCTGAGTCAGCAATACTTAAAATAGTTGGTGATTTATAGAACAGGTATGTCCCTCAAATGACTTTATATAGAATTCTGGAGTTTCTAGAGTATGTGTGACATTACAAAGTAAATGTACTTATATTGATATTTGTTTGTTGGCCTATTTACATATTTTTTTTGGATCTAATGCAGACCATGTTGAAATTTATAGCAAGTATTTTTCAATCCAAAAATATAAAAGGCAAACAAAATATTAGTGTGTCCCAAAGAAACAGAAACATTTATTTATATAGCCATAGGTAAGAGAAGCTACTGATAAAAAGATAAGAATATTGAAGAAAGAAAAATAAATAAAAATGATTGAAACAGTAAGAATCAGAGCATGGAGGACAGAAACACTCAGACACACAGCTTTCGTCTTCTCTACTGTAAAGCCACGCTCTGTACAAGCTCTCTTCAGCCAGCTTTTGTGCAGTGCCTCTTGCAATCAGCTTATTTTCCACCAAACAAGAAGAAACATGCAAGTTTCTTTAACGGAAGAATTTTAATAAACTTGGGTTTCATAGGCATCTTTTGTGTGTGTGTATGTTGCTGAGGATTGAACCCACAGACTTGTGCATGTGAGGCAAGCACTCTACCAACTGAGCTATATCCCCAGCCCTTTATATACTCAGGTTGAGTTATTGTTGGTTCACAAGCTGGCAAAAAAGAGGAAAAAAATGTTATTTTAAACCTGACATTCAACTCAAAGAATAATTTCTGGAAGCATCCATTCCAGTAACTACTTCTTATATGCCAGATTGAGCAATAAATAATTTTCTATAAGCTGAGAAGGTGGTTCTCTATGACCAGGCTGTGGGGGTGGATGGTTATTAGCCACCATGGGTATCAGCAAGATGCTGATGGATGCTGCAGTTGGGCACCTCCATGTCTCAGATATCACTGTTGTTTTGCYATCATGAAATAAAGTCCTTCTTCTCTAACAGTGAATCAGATATAAGATCTATGGATTCACAATGAAGTTAAATGGATCACTTCAGCTATCTCACACTGGCAGTATTAGAAAGTAAAACAGAACAAAGTATGTATTTTCTCAAATCCAGCACTTCTCAAAATTTAATATGCACACCAGTCATCTGGAGCTCTTGTTAAAATGCATATTCTGAGTCAGCAGATTGGAGTGGGCCTGAGATTCTGCATTTCTGACAAGCTCTCAAGTGATCCCTATGAGCCATTAAGTGGCAAGGCCTCAATCCCTTACTGCTTTAACCTCCATTGTCTTGCTAAGGATCGTGACTCTGGAGATAATAAGGTGCACTCCTTGGGAGTGAAAGCAATATTACTGGGTCAAATTGCCTTTTCTGTAATTTTGAGAGCATCATTAGAGTGCCTCTAAAAATAAAGACTATAAAGGTTTTAGGTGTATTATGGTAACAGCTTATATATGACTTAAGAGTTTTTCTTTCTCTTTTCTTTTGGGTACCAGGAACTGAACTCAGGGACACTCGACAACTGAGATACATTCCCAGCCCTATTTTGTATTTTATTTAGAGAAAGGGTCTTCRCTGAGTTGCTTAGCACCTTGCTTTTTGCTAAGGCTGGCTTTGAACTCTAGATCCTCCTGTCTCAACCTCCCAAATTGCTGGGACTACAGGCGTGTGCCACCATGCCTGGTAAGAGTTTTTCTTTTGCATGCATTTAAGTTAACAGTTAAAAAGGAAAAGATGGATATACAAAGGCTTACCATTGCATAAGAAAATCCAAAAGTTCAGAAGTAGTTTTCATCTTGGAGGAGGAAAGTTTTGTCTAAAAACTATCCATTTTTAAAAGAGATCATGGATTATCAATGGGAAGTTTTCAATATTTTAAAGCTTAAGATATAGAATGTATTATTCCAAGCAGAGAAACTATGGCAGTCTCATTGAGCTATAATAATGTTTGAGTCCTCTGGCAATAGTGAGTGACAATCAGACTGATTGAACGACTAATTCATCCATCCATTTATTCAACAAGTATTCACTGAGTACCTTTTATATAAAAGGTCAATGCTAAGCACTAAAGAGACAAAGACAAATCAGCCTCACATGTTGCATTACTCTAGGTCACAGAAAAGTGTCAAGTTATATAGGGGGATATGGCACAACCACTTATAGTGAATAGTATTTAAAAAAAAAAAAACATTTTAGCTACCCACAAAGTTCCTGCTGCAACCTTAGGTGAACTTGATATCTCCTATAGCACAGTAGAAAGCAACAAAAATATGGATTCAATTCAGTATTTTATTTTATTTGTACTGAGGATTAAACCCAGGGATGCTTTACAACTAAGCTACATCCTCAGCCCCTTTTAAAATTTTTGTTTTGCAACAGGATCTCACTATGTTATTGAGGGTCTCTCTAAATTGCTGAGACTGACTCAGCACTGAGGACTTGTGATCCTCCTGCCTCAGSCTCCTGACTGGGATTACAGCTGTGCCCACTGTGCCTGGCAATTCAGTGACATGTTTATGAAAAATTTGAAAGCACAATTTGCATCATGAAAAACAGGTTTCTGTATGTTGTGAACGCATCTCTCTACACCAATAGAAGGCTTTTAGATGATTCTAATGAAAACGTCACTGATTTTCTTAAAACTAAAGAAAGCTTCCCTAAGTACTGACATTTAATTCCATGATCTTGTATTTTATTTTTCTGCAATCCTCGACTACCATGGTAGACATTCTGCTGGCATCAAAACTGACCATATGGTGCCTTAGCACTCTCTTTGTCTAGGCATTTACTCAAAAGGTCTAGAGATATCTTCTATAAGCTATCATTCTAGCACAGGATCCAATTTGAGTAAGGGCCCAATGGCCTGAGATGGGAAAATTTGAGCATTTAAGAGAACAATGACTACAAAGGATTGGAAACATCAACTATATAAAAATTCATGTTTATAATGATGCCCCACCACCTTCCCCTGAAAGCCTGTCACGGTCCATCATTGGAGGTTGCTGAGCTACTTACTCATCACTCTGAATATTGACACATAAAGGAAATCATCACATGTCCATCTTGCTGTATTTTATAATAGCCAGAGTATGTAAGGGTAAGTTATTTTTCATAAATCAATGATAATGCAGAATAAACAACAGAATTGGAAAATTAACATCTCTTAACATTAATGAAATACTAGATGCAGGCAACCATCATCACTGGATGCTAAACCATCAGGTGAAAAGGCTGACAGGGCAAATGCCAATGGAATGGATCAAACTCATAACTCCAGAGCCCACTGATCAGTATCAACATTGTCAGAAGCTGGACAACCAGCCACTATGTGCCTCATGATGATGCAATGAGAAGTGTACCACGGGCTGGGGCTGGGGCTCAGTGGGAGAGCGCTTGCCTAGCATGTGTGAGGCACTGGGATCGATCCTCAGCACCACAGAAAAATAAATAAATACATAAAGGTAATGTGTCCTTCTACAACTAAAATAATAACAATAATAATAATAGAAAGAAAGAAGTGTACCATACCACAAATGTGATATTCTTGTCTAAAAAAATACAGAGCCCAAATGTGACAAGCTCTAGATAAAAATACCCACATATAGGAAATACAGGGGGAAAGAACAAATTAAATTGTATGTAGGAAACAGGTGGCCAAAATTATCTCTATAACACAGCAGTATCCAAAGTGTGGTTCTTGTACCTGCTGCTTCAGTATCATCTGGGGAAATGTTACAAGTGCACATTCTCAGGCCTAACACAGCTTTCCAGGTCATTCTGATACCTGCTCAAGTTTGAAAACTGTGGTTCTAAAAAATTAATGGCATGGAAAATTAAATTTTAAAAAAAAGGTAGGGGATGGGGAAGTGTTGATGAAAGACTTAAGAGAAATAATAAAAACAAAATTGAGTGCCATGGTGCCATGGTGGGTGACATTGCTGACACCCTGACAAATTATTTTAAAACTCAATTTAAAAATAATCATGGGAACCATTAGTATTGCAGCAAAATGAAACATGAAGTTTATACAAACTTTTAATTCATGAGAAATTAGTCACATGATTCTTAGAGAAATTGGAAAAGGGCCATGGATATCGAATYCCTTTTCCTCAGATCTGTAACTTTCATCTGTTTTGCTTTTTAGGTTCTTTCCCTCTATCTTTAGATCTTTGGATAGATCCCTGAGCTGTTTAGAAGAAAAGAGTCATCAAGAAGATATTAATAAATATGTTAGAAAATGTTACTTACATTATGTTTATGACAGAAATTAAGAGCTTGAAGTGTTTGCCATAATACACTTTTGATCACTCCATCAGCAACTCTGGGGGAAAGAATTAAAAAGGAATTGAGAATGCCAGGCATGGGGTTCCAGGAGCAAAGGCTGGGACTAGAAATGGAATGAATAATTTTCTTTTGTAGTTTGAAATTTTTACATCTGTCAAATGATACATGCTTATCATGAAAATGTATAACTCTAATCTGTTACATGAAAATAGTTGCTATAACTTATGGAGCCTGACTTTCGCTGCATTTACTCTTTTTTTTTTTTTCCTGGTCCTGGGAATTGAACCCAGGGGTGCTTTCCACTAAGCTACATCCCCAGTCTGTTTTATTTTTTATCTTGAGATAGGTTTTTGCTAAGTTATTTAGGGCTTTGCTAAGTTGCTGAGGTTGACCTTAAACTTGTGATCCTCCTGCCTCAGCCTCCTGAGTTRCTCAGATTACAGGTGTGCACCACCACGTTCAGCCTGCATTTACTTTTTAACTTTAATTTTAAATAAAAACATTCAAATGGTTCAAAAATTTTCAAGTACATTCACAAAGTCTTCTGACACCTGCCTAATTACCCATTTAACTTCTGCAATTCTACCCTCACTGCCTGGCTTCTTTCAGAAATGAGGTACAAATCTTAACATGTGCACATATATTTTAGTGGCTGAGGAGGACTCATTTTATGTATCATAAGGTACTTATTCCCCATTGATGAGCAGTTAGGTCGAGCCAATTTTCATTTCTAGAAGCACTTCCATGAACATCTGTAATCATCCATCTTGTTGCAGTTGTACAATTATCTTCTTAAAGTAAATTCCAAAATATGGCATTTCTGGAACTAATCATAGGCACATGTAGAGAAGAACTTCGGGCAGACCTGACACCTGGCTTTGCAGGGAAAAAGGTAAATTTGGAAGAGGGACTTTGAATTCACTCAGCTCATTTGGTGATACACACTCAAGCACATGCTGGATCCATGGTGCAGTGGCCGAGCATCTGGTAMGTGGGGTGGTTTACAGCCAGAGAGGCCAGGGAGAGGAAAGATCCTATGAGAATGGGAGGCTGGCAGTGATCATTGCTCTGTGTAGAAAACACTGGAAGATATTACGGGCAGGTGTAATTTCCATGGGAGACTTGGGGACCTGGGAAACCTGTCTACTTCATGTAACCATCTCTACAAATTCTAGCAATTGCATTCACTTTAACTTTTCTGTTGGTGTCTTTCCATGACTCACATCCCTGTCCCGTGATGATGCCTTCACATTTACAGTCTGCCAAGCTACCCTCTCTCTAAGGAAGGTTATACCCATTTAAACTCCCACCAAACATCTGTGCAGATAAGTCCCCATTGCCTCATGGTCTTGCCAACGTTTCGTTTTGCCAATGTTATGTTTGCCAATCTGTGGTTAAAATAAAATGATATTTCATTTTGGTTTTTATTTGCCTTTCATTAATTTTTAGTGATGAATAAATTTCCTATAGTTATTGGATACTACGGTTCTTCTTTTGTGTATTTCCATTTCATGGCCTCTATCACTTTTTGGACTGCTCTGTTTACTCTTTTTTCTTATTCATTTACAAAGACCCAGTGTAGATCAGTCTATTATATATGCAGCACATATTTTTCTCAGTGTATTGTCTGTCTTTCAACCCTGTTGATGCAGATGGGGTTGTTGTTTGCATATTTCAAAAAACCAGAAACACAAGGGTTTCAAAAGAAAATTGTCTACTGTAAGGATTTTTCTAAACTAAAAAAACCTTCATAATTATATAATACTTCAATTACATCCCTCACACAGACTTAATATTTCCCCATATTTGGATAGTTAAATCATATATTTAGGTCACTTTTGAATTTATGCAGAGGTAGCTGGTTTTATAGGGTTAGGAGACAGCCTGTGTGTACCTCAGTTACGGCACTAATGACAAGATATCTTCACATGAGGCTGAAGTATATTTGGAGAAACCAATGTAGGAAGGTGTTTTTCTCAGAGCAATTTCCTTATCTTGGATCACAATTATGGTGGCATGTCCTTGACTCCAGTTCTCCTATTTATTATTCTGAAAGCACTGAATTCTCAGTATTAAACCCCTTTCCACTTGAAATGTCTAGTGCTGTTTCCTCCAATGAGTTCTGATTTAACTTTATCCTTCTCCCCACTTTACCTATGGCCAAGCCTTAAACAACATTATTTAAATATTTTGATAGGAGGTAGAAAGGAGAGTATAGCCATTTTGAGCCCTGGGAGAGGCTGCCAGAGTTCAAATCCCAGCTGTGCTGCCTCCTCGCTTTATAACTTTGGGTAAATTATTGCAGCTTCTGGGTTTTCCCATATGAAAGGGGAATGTCATTCCATAAGTGATTTGAGAAGTCTGTCCTCTAAATATCTGGGCTTAAACACTCACATGGGCCCAGGAGATGAGAATCTGAAAGATGAGGCCAATAAATGAGGCTGAAACTCCTGCACGAAGACAGAAGAGGTCCTGAGACAGCACAGGGAGCGTGGGGCCAGCAAGGAGGCCAACTTGGCTGGAGCATGAGTGAGAATGTGCTCAGGTTTCTCAAGTCCTGCAGGCCTCACAGACCTAGAGCTTGGTAAGTTTTGTATTTTTTTTTTTTTGTATTTGTATTTTTGTATTTTCCTCTAGATTCAAAGCCACTGAGGGGAATCAAGCAAAAAAGCAATCCAGTAGGGTGAATGGATTTCCAGGGGCAAAGTGGATACAGGGAGATTAATTAGGAGGCTAATTCAGGAACCCAGGTGAGATCTGGTGACTTACTTAGGCTGACAGTGGTAGAGAGGAAGGCAAATGGATTTCAGTTTTAGGGAGGGACTGGCAAGGGTAGCCCACGGCCTTATCCGTGTAGGAATGGGACGCTGGGAAGGATCTAAGAGAATACAGGAGCAGGGAAGCTGGGRAATTAGGCAGGGCCTAACATTCAGAAGCTGTTATAACCCAGATTTCTTGTGTCAATGATGTGGAATCAAGCATGGATGAATTTGACAGGGAAGCCCTGCACTGTTGCTATGGCAGGGGTGTTTATAGGCTTCTCACTGGAAGTGTCACAGTGGTCAGTGAGCTCAGGTTCCAAGAAGGTAGGCCTCACGACTGGCAAAGCAACATCTCTATGAAGTAACAACTACGCACAACCAACACTGATCTTGCAGAGAGAAGACAGTTACCAAAGGAGTTGAGCTGCACAGCGCTCAGTCCAGGAAGACCACACTGTGACACCACACACAGCTTTTTCCAAAGTGTTTTGGAGAGAAATAAAACCTCCAGAAGAAATCAATGGATTCCATGTTTAAATATTATGTTTTGGGTGAGTGTGAAAACAATACTAAAAGCAATAATGAAGGCCTTAAAGTGAAAATGAGACATCTCAGTTCAAGGCCAAACAAGTAAAGGCATCGGGAATTCAGCCTGCACAGCCCAGAGACCGCTCTCTTAGCCCCTCCGCAGAGATCTAATGCCCACCTCAGAACTCCCTGCATTTGTTTTACTTTGTTATAATTTTTTAAAYTTGATTTCATTATCATTACCCCAGATGAACTGGGTTCTCAGTAAACCCCCGTTCTCCGGAATAAATGACAACCTTGTTATTAGGGGTCCACCAGGCTTTTGATGATTTCACTTTTTTTAACCTCCCCAACTTCATCTCCTACTACATCCACACAAATTTTCCAGCCAAGTCCTGTTAGTTTCGGCTATTCGCTGAATGTGCCAGGCTTGTTACCAGCTCCAACAAAAGTGAACTGTGAATTAATTCACCTTTTAACTGTTTTACAATTTTATTTTAAAGAATATAAATGCATTTACTAGAATATTGAGAAAATTCAAAATTAACTTCAATTACACTTACCATTCTGCTCTATTAACTCATTTTTCATGGACCAACTCATGAACATTTCCCCAGGACACCAACTATTCTTCTACATCATTCTTTTTTGCCTTTTTTTTTCTGAGATAGTTCTTTCTTTCTTTTTTTTTTTTAACGTGGACACAATATCTTTATTTTATTTTATGTGGTGCTGCGGATCGAACCTGGTGCCTCATGCATGGTAGGCAAGCGCTCTACCTCTGAGCCACAACCCCAGCCCGGAGATAGGTCTTTCAATGTTGTTAAGGCTGGCCTCAAACCCGTGATCTTCCTGCTTCAGCCTCCACAGTAATCCTCCTGGGATTACAAGCATGTGCCACCGTGATTGGCATGCAGCATTCTTTCTCACGGGCTAGATGAATAGTGTACCATTGTATGGATGTACCAAAATGCATGTAACTAATTCCCCCACTCCTTTTATTTATTGTTGGAGGTTGAACTCAGGRCCTTATGCATGTCAGGCAAGCATTCTGCCACTGAGTTCCACCCCCATCTATGACCAATTTTTTCCCTGTCTTCATTAGTGCATTATAGTTCTACACACTATTAGGGTTCATTTTGACATAATCATACATGCATGGAATATGATCTGCCCCACTGCGGTCTCCAGCTTCCCCTTTCCCTTCCCTCCCTGTTCCCCTCCCTTACTCTAGTGGTCTTCCTTTTACTTATTTATAGTTTTCTTTAATTAGTGCTCTATGGATATTACATAAAAGGTGAAATTCACTGTGGTCTACTTACATAGGGACATAGCATGATTTGGCCAATTTCATTCCACTGTTCCTCCCTTTTCCTGCCCCCCGACTCCCTCTTCTTCAATCCCCCTCCTCTGCTCCATTGATTGATCTCCCATCTATTTTCATGGAATCTCCCCTTTGCCTTTTTTCCTAATCAGTTCTTTCAAAAAAATTTTTTTTCTGTAGTTGTAGATGGATGGAATGCTTTTATTTTGTTTATTTTTATGTGGTGCTAAGGACGGAACCCAGCGCCTCACATACGCCTCACAAGTGCTCTGCCACTGAGCGACGGGCCCCCCTCCCCATCAATTTTTTATTAGAAAACTCAAGGCCAATTTTTATTATACATAATGATATATTGAATATCCATATGTATAACTATTTGTCCCCATCTGAATATTTGATTACCATTTATTTCTCTAAATGGAATTTCTTGATTGAGGGATAAAAACAGTTTAAAAAACTTCATACACACTGCCAAATTGTTCTCCCAATTACACTCTCTTGAACTGTGAATGAGAAAGCCTGGTTCCCTAATTTCTTTTTTAATATTTATTTTTTAGTTGTAGGTGGACATAATACCTTTATTTATTTATTTTTATGTGGTGCTGAGGCTCGAACCCAGGGCCTCGAATGTGCTAGGTGAGTGCTCTACCACTGAGCCACAACCCCAGCCCTTCCTAATTGTTGATAATACTGAGTATAATGATTTTTGAAGAATCTTTGCCAAATTTAATAGGTGAAAAATGATCCTTCACCATAAACATTTTAATTTATTTGACTGATAGGGAGAGTAAACTTTTTTTTTTTTGAGGGGGGATGTAATGGTCATCCCCTCCTCCTTTTAAAATGTGTTTCCTTTTCCATGTCTATTAGAATGAAAGCTCCACAAGATTAAGCTACTTTTTTGGTTTGTGTGTTCCTACCTTTATCTGACAGGTCCACAATATTCACTAAATCATTTTTGAATGTATATTTTTTTTCTAATTGGGCATTAATCTTTTCATATATGAAATTTGTTAATTATGGCAGTTTAACAAATTTGGCATTTCTTTTTGGGTTTTGCTTATGGCGCTTTTTTGTCAAAGGAAATCTCTAAAACAACTGTGATTTAATTMGACTGTTAATATTCTCTTTTTTCTTCTTTTTAAAATATTTCTTGATTTGGTCTAACTTCTTTAAGTTTCAAAAAAATCCCATTAGAATTCTGATTAGAATTTATTTAGTAAATAAATTGGGGAGGCAATATTTTAAAAATAATGAATATTTTTATCTAGAAACTATGTTCATTTAAATAAAATTCTTTATGTACCTTAGCTTTTTAAGTTGTAAATGGACACAATACCATTATTTTATGTATTTATTTTTATGTGGTGCTGAGGATTGAACCCAGTGCGATCTACCGCTGAGCCACAACCCCAGCCCTCCTTAGTTTTGTAGTTGTCTTTATATAGAGTTTAAGCAAATCTTTTCATTCCTAAGCTTTTTGTCACTGCTAATATTTGAAAAGGGATCCTTCTCCACCAGATTTTCTAACGTGGTATTTAATATGAAAACTGTTAATTTTTGAGTGTGGACTCTCTCGTGGGATAGGGATTCTTTACTGAATTCCCTTAGTTTTAATAACTTTCGGTGACACTCTCATATTTTGTAACAATAATATTATGTAAATAGTAAAAATCTTATCTCATTTCTAAAAGTGATATTTATTTTTCTTATTGCATCCCACTGGCTACAGTTCTCAGAATGTTAAATTATAGTCATGACAACCAACATCCTTGTCTTGTTTCTCAATTTAATGGATGTTCCTTTGGTGCTTTACCATTGAATGTAAGATTTGTTTGAAGAGGTTTTTTGTGTGTGTGTGTGTGTGTGTGTGTGTGCAAAAAAGCATTTTTAATTCTAGTTGCTAAGGTTTTAATTTTTTTTAATAATCAAAAAGTGTTGGGGCTAGGGCTGTAGCTCAGAGGTAGAGTGCTTGCCTCACATGTGTGAGGGGCTGGGTTCCATCCTTAGCACCACATAAAAATAAAATAAAGGTACTGTGTCCATCTATAACTAAAAAAAAATATATTTTTAAAAAGTGTTGGATTTGTCAACATCTCACATTTTCAAATTTTATAAATCACATTTTTTATCATTTAATTTACTAGTGAATTATATAAATAAATTTTATAATTGATCCATGGTTCACTTGCTGAAAATGCATTGTCTCAAAATGCATTGTGATTTATATTTACAGATTCATCTTCCTAGTTATATTTCCTCTAGGTTGATATCTGATTGCCCTTTAAGCATATCCTGAGAGTGGAGAGGGGCAGCCAGATGCATTTTGTAGAAGGGGTAATAGTGGCTGGGATTYGAAATTGCCATAATTAATTCCACACAGAATGAAACATGGCCATATGGAACTTCAATTTCTAGAGTACTTACCCATTTGGGTTTCTTTCCAGCTCATTTAAAAGTGTATGATCACAGTATTCAAAAACTAAATGCATTTTCCTTTTTCTCCTGAACACCTCAATGAGGTTCACAAGGTTTGAATGTTTTAATTGCTGTAAAGGAATTGAAATACAAAGTTTAGTGATGGGTTTCTAGGAACCGTTTCTCTCCCTACCCCTTTCAATGTTAAGAACACAAGGCCTTTCTAATTATTTTTGTGTGCATCTCTTGTGCAGAAGTTATTATAGATCCTTATAAGAGAAATTGCTCTTAGAATAACAGAAACTTAAAGTAGAAAGAAATATAAGAATTTGTCTAAAGTAACTGTAATTGATGGTAACTAAACTGTTTGACTCCTTCTAGTGATAGCAAATAAAGCATATACGTTAAAATATAAGCAGTAAAATAAAAAATACTTTGTGCATTTTATGGAAACTCTAAATGTCTAAGTCATAAAATAACCTGAATAAACAATTGARGAAATGGAATTATTGAGTAAAAGACTATAAAAAATCATCAGTGCCCACTTATCTTATACTTTGCCATGGGCTTAATGTAAATAAATGTCAGCTGGATTTAAACTCAGCTTGGATTCTAGTTTTGGCTCTGAGCAATACTGGATTCCCAATGTTAAATCTGATTAAATTGCCTATTTCAGGGATTTCCAATTAGTCTGTGTTTTAAATTCACTAAATTTCCCAGCAATTCCTTGATTCTGTTCTTCACGCTTATATTTAGATGTTTTATGTGTTAATTTTATTCCCAAACTGAAGCATTTCACAAGGCAACCTTTGTTTTTAATGTTGTAAACTAAAGGAAAAAGGATGATGAAGTTGGATAATCCATCATTAGAGTGAATATAAAACTTATCATCTAATCCAGTATAATAGTAGAAGCCAGGACTGTCCCAGGTAAACCAGCATATATGATCACCCTGCCTTTAACTAGGGCAACCATATAATTTAGCATTCTTACTAAGACATTTTTGAAAGGGGATGTTAACTGGACAGGACATTGGGACAAACACCATAAACCAGGACTGTCCTATGTAAACCTGGATATATGATCTCTTCTATTTATAATTTATCTTCCTTGTCATTTTCCCAGAATAGTAGACAAATCAACTTTCCAAACCCTATAGCATTTACCCAGAACAATATATAAAGAGAACAAGATATTTTGCATATAATAGAAGCTCAATTAATATTTTGCAGGCCCAGTAGAGAATCCTAAGTATGTCTTACATTACAAGCCTTTATGTCTGTATCTGTAAGTATGGCTTGACTAAAAATGAATAAAATAAAATAACCCTACAACTGTGTGTTTGCTGCTCAACAATCTGCAAAATGAGAATACCTTAGACATTAAAAATGTGCCTAGAGCATATTTTTGCTTTCTATGAGCTCCAGTGCCTAAAAGAGCAGAAGGTCCAAACAGTGGAGCCACACCTCACAGGTGAGCCAGCTGATTTGTATTGCAGTAAAACCACAAAATGGAAGTGAAGTGCTTTTCCTGACAGGAGGGCAAGGGATTCACAGATGAGATGGCTTTATGCGATGACCAAGTTGAACCTGGTCAAATCTCTTGTCTCTGGGTAGGTCAGCAATTTATATATCCTTTGCAAAGGAAGTTAATAACCCCAACAAACAGTGATTTGCCCAAAGAAAAACAGGTAGAGGGCTGGGGACATAGCTCAGTTTGTAGAGTGCTTGCCTAGCATGCACAAGGCCCTGGGTTCAATCCCCAGCACCACAAACAACAACAACAAAACACACACACATACACACACACACACAAAAAAAAACCCCCACAAAATCAGGTAGAAAGGAGAACGAGGAAAATAAAATTTAAATACCAGGAGTATGGGAGGAAAGTAAGGTTCATTTCCCATGGAAGGAGTGTGTTCAAGGCATGCCTGGGTGTGCAACATACCAGAGGCAGGAAAAAGTACATTCTGAGACCAAGCTGAGATGAAATATGGCTACCTTTCACCTTAATGCACATTTTCAAATTGGGGCACTTGTAACTCAAAAGGTACCAGCTGAGCATTGACCTTATTAAGGCTTTGGAGGGTATGATATATCAAGGTCATTGTACTGTCATATGAAACTAATTAAAACAAATAAAAAATTTAAAGAAAAAAGACTTTGGAGGAAGAGGGAGAAGAGTAAAAGCATTATTTTTAATGGAAAACAACACTGCCTGGTTCAGACCCACCCTGCAGCCTGGCCCAGAATTGGGTGCTAGACCTGGCTGGCTCACCACTGCCCTCTGCTGGCTAAGTGGCAAGAATGATTTTTTTTTTCCTTCATCATGGTTGTTTTGAAAACTGTATTTCAAATTATATTTTAAACAAAACACTATAAAGTATTCATTGGGGACACCTGATGCAAGTGATATTTGGAAGGAGGGATAATGTAATTATTATCTCCCCTTTTMAAACTGGATTACTGTTTTGTTTTTCCTAAAAACAGAAGACACAGTTCAAAAGTCAAGGCTAGTTGTTCTTGAAATCACAGGGTCTTGTTACTTAATGTGTAACCACTGGTGTTRTTGCCAATGCCCACCAACCAGCAGCCTCTCTGCTGTCTGGGAGCTGTTAGAAAGGCAGTCTCAGGCCCCCTCCTGGATCCCCATCCCCCATTTCAACAAGATTCCCCAAGGGATTCCTTCTACATAACAGAGAAGCACTGTTCTGGCTTTCAAGTTCCCCGAATGGAAGAGTTTTAGGATAGGAAAAAATCTTAACATTGAAAACTTGTGAATCTTACATGTCAAATTCTATCAGAGTAAAAACAATAATGACAAATCCTTTATGTAAAGTGTATGTACTGCTGGGAGTGATATTCAGTATAAGGACCAGGGCAATACAGGCGGGGACCAAGTAACACTGATATCTAAGGGGCACTAGTGCAGTCCCATGGGCCCCTCTGTGCCAGGAGGTGATCTTTTAGTGGCTGGTTGGTTGGGAAAGTATTCGGGGGCAATGTCCAGAGAAGGGCTGGGGGGGAGGAGTAATAGTAGGATAAGGAGTCTTAGGTRGTGTGGATGTTTACCCACTAGAATGGAAGTACTTCAATATTTTAACCACCTACAGCTGTGCTAATATGTATCAGATAAACATCAGAATGGTTAAAATTCAAGGTGATGATCTACTTATTTCCCAAAGTTGCTGATGCAAAGGAATTTGAGTCCAGTGGAAAAGAAATAWTACTTTAAAAATGTTTAGCATACATGTTTCACCTAATGCCTTGAATAGTATGAGAGAGTTAACCTACCTTCAACAAGCGAATTTCTCTCAGTGCTATTTTCTTAACAACAGGATCATCTTCAGATTCCACGAATTTTTTAATAGCTACTACTTGTCCAGAGGATTTGTTTCTGCACTTGAACACAACTCCATAAGACCCTTCTCCAATCTTAGCTAATTTTTCATACTTTTCCAYTATAGTCAAGGTCACTTATATTATTATATTGATGGAACTGCAGTAAAATGTTGCACCTGGAAAATAAGATTGACTAACCTTAATCAGGTTRTAAAGGACAACATTCCTGCAGTTAAAAAAAAACAATTTTCCTGGCATGCCAAAGATTTTCATTGATTAATTTAAACCCGTTTAAAATACTTGGATGTCATTTGTACATGTGCTGCTAAAGAAGACCTGGATGCTGTTTTGTTAGTTTGGTCCTGTGTAGTTCTTGCAGCTATCACAAATATTTCGTGAATTATTTCTGATAATGGGTCAGTTAAATTACACAAATTTGTGGGAAGGAAACTTGTCCAGCCTATTGTTTTCATTGTCTTCAAGTAAATGATTAAAATATAATGCTGTAAAATSCAGCTTTAGGAACATTTCATACTCCAAACTGGTGTTTACTTTCTCCTTCCTAACTTACAGGAATGCCTCAATGACTAGGAAGACTTAGGTGACTAGACACGGTACAAAGTGCTAGACTCCCACCTGGTGGAGAGAATGAAAGAGACAATGTGCGCTGCTAACAAAGCAGCTTTAAAAAAATAACAAAATCTTTCCAGGACATCCATCATTTATTGCTCTCAGCTTTTATATGAATGGGGAACTAATCCTTAGTCCCCAAAGAAAATAATGATACTGTACAAAAAAGGAGGTAGACGGTGCTTTCATATTCATAGTGATTTCTAGAGAAACACTGTGTTTAACAATTTTTCTATCCTGCATCATCCATTTTTGATTATGTTTGTGACTGAATTAAACATTAAATGACAAATAAAGCCAGTATCATTAAATAAATAAGCCCCCAAATGAAAAATATAAAAAGTTTAATGAATCTGAAAAATCTCACCCCTTTATCCTGCCAAATCTTGTTAATATAATCTAATAGTAATTATTATAATAGCACTGAAAAAGCATTGTTCTGTCTACATATAATCTGCACAAACATTCTACAAAGTGAGTGTTATTTTATCCACTTATGCAGATGAGAAAACTGAAGCACAGGAAGCTAATGTAAAATTAGAGCCCAGCCAATCAGGTTTCAAAGATCACAATTTGAATCACAACTTACACTGTCTCTCAGTTCCTTCACAAAAATGCACAATTTGAAGAACCATTTTTATCTAGGTCTTGGTATTAATATCATATTAAGGAAGTAAACACCTGTAAAATTTCTGTTTCAAATGAATGTACATTTTTTAAAATTCACTCATATTGTCTTTTCCATCCATCGATTATCTTAATCATCTACTCTCATTTGCTACCATGAAAATATACAGTAGGGAAAAGTGTTTGGGCAAATGATTACTAACATACTATTTTACAATTTTTTWAAAAGTATATTCTATTCCCTCTGAAAGGAGAAAATTCAGGCGAACACACACATAAGAAATACATGGTATGAGAAGAAGATTAACATTAAACAGGGACGAGAGGTGGGAGGGAAAGGGAGAGAGAAGGGAAATTGCATGGAAATGGAAGGAGACCCTCATTGTTATACAGAATTACATATAAGAGGATGTGAGGGGAAAGGGAAAAAAAAACAAGGGAGAGAAATGAATTACAGTAGATGGGGTAGAGAGAGAAGATGGGAGGGGAGGGGAGGGGGGATAGTAGAGGATAGGAAAGGTAGCAGAATACAACAGTCACTAGTATGGCATTATGTAAAAACGTGGATGTGTAACTGATGTGATTCTGCAATCTGTATACGGGGTAAAAATGGGAGTTCATAACCCACTTGAATCAAATGTATGAAATATGATATGTCAAGAGCTTTGTAATGTTTTGAACAACCAATAAAAAAATAAAAAAGAAGAAATACATGGTAAATCCATCATGGATTAAGTTCTAAAAACCCTATTAATTATACTATATTTTTACTTAGATATTATTATCTTCAAGGTATTTAAATAAAAATATGCATGTATTGCCTTTGTTTGGTCTAATAGTAGGTGGTCAAAAGAGAATAGGAGAAACTACATACAAATCTGCTTTAGAAAGTTATTGATTATTGATACAGAACTTCATAAATTTATGACTAACCTATTTGATAAGCATGACAGTTACCATGGAATATAAGGAAACTATGAATATGACAAAAGGGTAATTATGAAGCTTTATTGTAGCAATCTTTTCTTTTCTTGTTCTCTCCCCCCTTCTCTTTCTTTCTTTTAAATTTGTGGTACTGGGCTACCCTGAGCTTACATCCCAAGCCCTCTTAATTTTTTATTTTGAAAGAGGGTCTTCTTAAGTTGCTGAGGCTGGCCTTGAATTCATGATCATTCTGCCTCAGCCTCTTGAGTAGCTGGGACTTCAGGTCTGTGCCACTTGCTTGGCTTATAATGCTTTGTTTTCTCATTCTTCTCTAGGTAGCTATTTGATCTATTTATCTATTCTTTTCCTTTTTTCCCCAACAGTTCCATAACGAGTGATTCCTCAATTTAATTAGATCTTTTGTCATATCAACCAAACTGCTATTTACAATAAAATAAAGCTGCAGAACACAGTGCTTCACCTGGTAACCTCTCAATATTATCTACTTTATAAACCTTTACATGGAAGACTAGTTCAAAATGTAAGCAGGAATTCCACAAAAAGAATTTTTGGCTCGAATTCTAGCTTACCAGGACTCTGAGGTTTTATTTTTAAATTTATTAGTTTTTAAAAATTATTTTTTAAAGAGTTTTTAAAAGCAGCAATTCCTAATCTCTTTCCTGCGGTTCAAGCCAACTACCTATTTAACTACTTGATGAACATCCCTGCATGAATGGGCAGAATCACCTAAAAATTGGTACATTCTAGGGGATTGGGSCTAGAATGTAACTCAGTGGTAGAGTGCTTGCCTAGCACAGGTGAAGCAATGGGTTCAATCCTCAGCACCACATAAAAATAAATAAATAAAAATTTTAAAAATTGGTACATTCTAAACAAACTATCTTCTTTCTTATCCTCTATTCTTATACAAAGCTCACAAACATGTTCCATATTTCACCTAAATGACTTGCCAAGATACATGTGGAAGGGAACTTGAAATAATGACTGTTGACTCAATTTAATCTCTTCATATATCCACAAAGCTATACAAATAAGATCGACAACAAATAAGATCACATAAATCCAATGCCTTCAACATAACAAGAAGACAGTAGACTTCTACAGATGTAAATAGAAAGGTAAAGCCCAAGTTCTAGAAGAGATGTCTCTTGTGCTCACTGTAAGTCTTTGCATAGAGCTATTGGAGTGGGATTGGATCAGAAAAAGCTGTAAGGAAAAGCAAAGAAAGGAGGCCTAACACAGACTCAAAATCACCCCCTAGGAAAGAAAATGCAGCATAAGGTACAAGTATAGTGAGGTGACATCAGAGTGGCACCATTCTCAGGGCAGAGAAGAATAAGAGGGAAGGAAGAGGCACCTGTTCAAGCATASAGAGTGAAGGGAAAAGAAGCTAGAGGGAGAAGTTTGGGATCTTGCAAGTCAAAGGAGAACCCTGAATAGTAGGACTTGCAAATCGTTCCCTCATGACTAATGTATTATCTAACATGAACAGTGTTTTGGTTTTGCAAATGACCAAAATGAAAGAGAGAAAAGACCGAAGATGATCAGAGGCTCAGAGACTCGTAAGACAAAAATCAATAGTGCCAACATAGATGTAATAAAATGCCCGGAAAGAAAGGGAGATTTAGGGGCAAAGATATTCAAAGAAATAATGGACAAAACTTAACAAATTTAATGAAAAACATTAATCTACATATTCAAAAAGTCAATAAATTCCAAATAGAATAAACACAAAGAGATTCATACTCTGACACATCATAGACAAACTGCTGACAACCAGAGAGAATATTCTCAAAACAGCAAAATACAACCATTCACATATAAGGGAACAACAACAAGATGCTTCATAACTGACCCTCATCAGAAAAATAATAGGAAGAAATAAATAAAACGAAAATTGGTTCTTTGGAAAGATCAATAAAATAGATGAATCTTTAGAATAGATTAAGCAAAAAAAAAGAGGAAAAGAAAAAAAAGAGAAATAAAACTTAATCAAAATTAGGATCTCTAGAGAAATTTTTAAAAATTAAAAGAGTATATTATGAACAATTTTATGCAACTAAATTAGTCAGATAGTTGGATAAATGTCTAGAAAGACACAAAATACCAAACTGGACTCAAGAAAAAATAGAAAACCTGGGAATATCCATAACAAGTAAAAAAAATCAAATAAGTAATTAAAAAACTATCCACAAAGAAAAGCCCAATATGAAATGAATTCTACCTATCCAGCCAATATCACTCTGATACGAAGTAGACCAAAAAAAAAAATCACATTATTGCAGATCATCATTTTCATGAATATAAACTCAATACTCAACAAAATAATTATCAAAATAAATTCAGAAACATACGATGGTTACATGGAAATGCAAGGCTGGTTTAATATCTGAAAATCAATGTAAAACATCATGTGACTAGAATAAAAGACAAAATTGTTTGATCATCTCAGTAGACACAGAAAAAGTGACAAAACCCAACACTCACTCATAATAAATATCTCAACAAAGTAGAAATACAAGGGAACTTCTTCAAGGGCATTAGTAAAAAGCTTACATTTAATATCATGTTTAATGGGGAAAGACTAAATATTTTACTCCTAATATTGAGAAAAAGATGTTTGCTTTCATCATTTTAACACTGTATTGTAAATTCTTGCCAGTACAAGAAGACAATAATAGAAATTAAAAACATAGATTGGAAATGAAAAATGTAAATGACATGATACTGTATAGAGAGAATACTAATTAATTTACAAAAAATTATTAGAACAAATGACCAAGTTTGCAACATAACAGGATGAAAAATCAGTATATCACGATAAACTATTTCTATCTACTGGCAACTGTGTTTCTACCTACTGGCAACAAACAATATGAAAATACAATTAAGAAAACAATCCTATCCATAATAACATAAAAATAAAATCCTTAGGAATAAATTTAAAAACAGAAAAAATACCATGTTYATGGATTAGAAAACTCAACTAAATGTGAGTTACTATAAAGTTAACTATACAGTAAATTCAATCCTCATAAAACCCCCATAGGGCCAGGGTTGTGGCTTAGTGGTAGAGCACTTGCCTAGCATATGTGAGGTACTGGTTCCATCCTCAGCATCATGTAAAAATAAATAAATAGATAATAAAAAACTTTAAAAATCCCCATAGGCTATTTTAAAAATGGAAATTGACAAGATGAGTCTAAATTTATATGGGAATGTACAGGGTCCTGAACAGTCAAGATAACTTTGGAAAGAAAAAAAAATTTGGAAGAGCTATATTACCTGTCTTAAGGTTATGATAAACCAAGAGGTGTGATATAGACTTAAAAACAGACATCTATATCAGTGGAAAATAAAAGTGAGCCAAGCAATGGACTCTTATTTATTGTTGCTTTACTCCACTTTATGCTGCAGAATACCTGAGACTGTGTAATTTACAATGAACAGAAATTTACTGGCTTACAGTTCTGGAGGCTGGGAAGTCCAAGTACTTTGGCACCAGCATCTAGTGAAGGCCTGGATGCTATGCCAAAAACATGGTGGGAGGGTGAGAGCAAGAGGGGGCTGAACTTACCCTTTTATAATGGCACCAATCCTTTGGAGCCCTCATGACATAATTATCTCCTAAAGGTCTTACCTCCCCCAACATCACCACAATGTAAATAAATTTCAACATGAGTTTGGAGGGGACAAAAATTAAAACTATAGCAATGGTCAGTTGTCGTCATTGTCTCCTTCTTGTCCTCCTCCTCCTCCTCCTTATTTATTTTTTGGCTATACCAGGATTGAATCCAAGACCTCTTGGGTGCTGGCAAGTACTCTATCACTGAGCTATATTACAGCTCCAGTATGCCAAAATTAACAAAAAGTAAATAATAGACAAAAGATAAAACTAAAACTACATAACTTCTAGGGAAAAAAAATGGGAGAAAAATCTTTGTGACCTTCATTTAGGCTAAGATTTCTTAGCTAAGACATCAAAAAGATAATCAAAAGGAAAAAAATTGATAAAATGGAATTAATAAATTTAAAAATCTTTCACTTCTCAGAATTTGCTCCATCAAGAAAAGGAAAATATAAGCCACAGATGGAAGAGAAATATTAGCAAATCATATATACGGTGAAGGATTTATATCCAGATTTTATAAAGCACACTTAAAACTCTACAGAAGTCAAACAACTCAATTTAGAAATGGATAAAATGCATGAACAGACATTTCACCAAATCAGATACATAAATATCTAACAGCCACATAAAAGGATGCTATTCATAATTAGAGTAATATAAATTAAAACCATAGTAAGATAGCACTAATTCATTAGAAATGCTAAAATCAAAAGAATGATAAATTCAAGTATTGATAAGATGTGTAGAAACTGGAACTTTCACACATTATTGGTGGGAATGTAAAGTGGCACAGTCCCATTGCAAAAAACAGTTTGGGTGTCTTATAAGTTTAACAAATATAAACAGTAATTTCACTCCTTAGTATTTATCCTAAGAAAATTAAAAACTATGTCTACACAAAGATAGGTAGACACATGTTTATAGTACTGTTATTCACAGGAACGTCAAACTGAAAACAATCTATCATTTGACGGATGGATAAACAAAATATGGACCATCCATGCAGTAAAATACTCATCAGTAATATAAAGGAATAAACTACTGCCCATTCCATAATGTGAATGAATATTTTTTAAAAAATATATATATTTTTAAAAACCAAAAATAAAATTCTAGAACATAATGCTAAATGAAAGAAACCAAACAAAAAAACCTACATATTATATGATTCCGTGTCCAATATATTTCTAGAAAAGGCAAACGTGTCACTGAGAAGGATGTAACATCTTTGTGTTATTTATGACAAAAATGCAAAACCTGAATCAAATTATGAGGAAGCAGTAGACATAACCAGATTGAAGGACATTCAACAGATAACTGGCCTGTACTCTTAAAAAAAGGTCAAAGTCATGAAAGACAAAAATCAAAATAGTGTTCCAAATTAAAGAAGACTAAAGATGAAAAGAAATGTGCGATCCTGAATTAATTGGATTCTGGAATGGGGAAAGATAATTAATAATAATAATAATATAGGGATAATTGGCAAAAATACTGTCTGTGGTTGGATGTTGAATTTCTTGACTTTGGTAAATTGTACTGTGGTCATGTTTAAAAAAAGGCCTAATTCTTAGGAAATAAATGCTAAAGTACTTAATAGTGAAAGGGAGATGATGACTGCAACTTATTCTCAAATGGTGCAGGAAAATTAATATATTCAGAGAGAAGAAAGTGAGCAAGGGAGAGAACGGAAGTAAAACAAATGAAGCCAAATGTACACAATTAATGAGCTTCGATGAGAGTTCATTTCCTATTTTCTGTAAGTTTGAAAAACCCTATTTTAAACCGTCTTATTTAACTCCTTTATGTCTGCTTACGTTACAACAAAAAGATCTTTCTCCACATCAATAGGATCCAGCATCATCCTTCCTCAAAAATATCTAACTCAATGTCTTTTCTGCTTAGTCTTCTGCCACCTCCACTGTCAGCCTCTTTCTCTGCTCACCTGCTGTACTAACGACTTCCCCCTACTCCTTTTTAAAACATTATGCACCACATTGTTCTTGCACTGTTAGCCCAAGTCTGTCAAATGGTAGGCTTCTCTTAAAGTCCTGGCATTGTTTTATTTGCTAAACTTTCTACTGAATATACAAAATGACTTTGTTTTAAGGAAGGGCAATTAGTACATTGTGATTATTGTTACAATACTTGCGCAGGAATCAAGATTACATGGTGACACAGATATTGGCAAGAAATAGATGCAACTGGTTGAAAATATTGTTTGTAGTTACCAGTGACCTTCAACTGGAGCTATACAGGGCCTCCTGACTTCAACATTTACCAAGTAATGAAGTTCTATGTACAAAGGCGAAGACAGGTATGGTCATTGGACTCACTGGTGATTATGAAGATAAACAGACCCACAGGTAGGTACATACTTGAATGGATCATTAAATTCTTCAGAAATTTTCCTTAAAGATCTGCAAAACGAAGTACATAGAAACAAGAAAACACTTGGAGGTCCATTACGTATTGTATAACATTCCCATGATTGTATAACAGATCAAGCCCTGAGGGCTTAAATAAGCCTAAGTATACACCAAGAGAAGTGGAGAATAGGAAAAGAGTGGGGAAAATTTTTTTCTAAACTAAAATGTTCCAGGAAACTCAACAGAGGCTTTAGGAGTGATGGAAGAAAGGAGAGCTTTTAAAGGTCAGGCGAGACCAGTTAGGGATTCATAAGCTAAAGTCACAACCTGCTATGTTGTTTTTCTTGTTTCTAATGAAGAAGCCAAACGTGTATTTATATTTAATACGTTTCTCAGGAAAATGGGCTATGAATCATTCTCACCTGTCTTATAAACGTAATACCAAAAGCCGGGCGCAGTGGYATACACCTGTAGTCCCAGCGRCTTAGGAGGCTGAGGCAGGAGGATCCTGAATTCAAAGCCAGTCTCCGCAATTTAGCGAGACCCTAGGCAACTTAGAGAGAACCTGTCTCTACACACACACACACACACACACACACACACACACACACACGTATGTATATGTAAATAAAGGGCTGGGATGTTGGGCGAGTGGTTGAGCACACCTATGTCCAATTCCCAGTGCAAATAATAATAATAATGATAATAATAATGATAATAATAATAATGATGATGATAATAATAAAACAATACCGAGTCACTGCATTTCAAAAGAACCCAAAGGATTTATAAAGTTGTCTTGGTGACAATACAATGGGACTAATTACAACTATCCTCAGAAAACCAGGGGACCACAGAACTTACACAATCCACGTCGGGGTTCGCCTCGGCCTTCCTCTGGGGACGCCTCCCGTGGGGGCGGCCACCCGGTCTCCCTCGGCCCGCCCTCCGCGCGCCCTCCCGCAGCCCCTCCCCGCCGACCGCACATCCCCGGCCCAGGGACGTCCCCAGCCCCGCACCGGGCTGGTCGTGCGAGGCCGGGAGCCACCTGTCGCTTCCTCCCCTCAATCCCTGCCCTCCCTTGGTCTTCCAGAGGCCAGGAAGGGGAAGGCAGCCCTCTCCTCTTCCTCGATCCTCCGCTGGGAGCCTCCACCCAGACCCCACCTCTTTCTCCGCCGGCGACCCAGGTCCCGCCAGCCGCGGGGATCGGCACTTACGGCGCCGGCCGGGCGTCGGCCACGCAGTCGCCGGGTCAGCCGGGGCCAGTGCAGGTCGCTCGGAGCAGGCCGCCGGCGGCGCAGCAATCCCCAGCGAGCAGAGCCGCGGCGGCGTCGCCCGGGCAACCGCGACGCTCAGGCCGCGTGGGGCGGGCGGCTTCCGCAGCGGTTCCCCAGGCGCCAGCGGCCGGGTCGCCCTCTCCAGGTCTCGGTGGGTAATCTCTGGGCCATGGGCGCAGCGAGACAGGGAGCGGCCAGGAAACGTGTCACAACTTTTGACAGCGAGATCATGCTCAGTCCTGCTCCTTCCCAAAGCACCCAGGCCCCCCAATTAACCTAGGTGAAGGCTGATTACTCCGCTTCCCTGCGTGGGCAGCCACCGGTGGCAAGGCTCTTTGTCATTAGTCATTGTCTTCGGTCATACTTTTTGTGGAAATAGCTTTCCAGCAAACTTCCCAGAGGCTTTGAGACAAGCAGCTGTTCATTATCTGTGCTTCATTAATGGTATTTTCATAACTCAACAAGCACTGTACTAGTATCTAAATCTGGGGCTGAATTAGGGTAGGGCACCGGGTTTGTCACCCAGAGAGGAAAGCCATCAAGCCAACAAATAACATAACGGAGGAATGCTATATGGAGACAAACACATTAACCTTGGGAAAGAGAATTGTCAAAGCTTACCTATTGTGTTTCAAGACTAACTCAAAAAGAAACTATGTTAATGAGCTCACATGTACATCAGTAGAATCCCCCCACCCACCATCATGGCCAGATTGAGGCTGTCAAATTTCTCTTTTATACTCAAATCTCTATTTTTAGGAAATGTAACCCAGAAACCATCTTTTTCTTCTTTCAAGTCCTTCCACTAAATTTAAGTCTAGTTCTATCCACTCATTTCTAGTGGCTCTTGCCTTCATCATATTATAAACGAATTTCTCATCCTGAGGCACCACGTCTATAATCCCAGCGATTTCGGAGGCCAAGGCAGGATTCCAAGTTTGAGATCAACCTCAACAATTTAGCAAGATCCTATCTCAAAGTAAAAAATAAAAAGGACTGGGGAATGTAACTCATTAGTAAAGTGCCTCTGGGTCCTATACCAGTACAAACAAAACAAAACCTCATTATATATGCAATTAATCATACTATGTATGAAAACCTCTGGCCTATTTTCGTCTTCATGGTACTTGATCTCTCAAATTTTTAAAATGCTTGACTCCCTTGATAATAAACTCTGCACTATCAGCTCATGTTTATTCTCCAGCTTCTTGCCTGTAACTCTAATACAGATACCCTAAGCTCTACTGCATTTAAATCACTATTCCTTAAACATGCAGAGGTTTTGCACGTATAAGTTACAGCTTCCTACCTGGCCCTCCTACATAATACACACTTTATTTATCCACTACCTGCTCTACACATTCTTCTGCAGAAAGGT